TTATATATACATTATATATTAGATTGGTACATAAATAAGTGCCGTTTTATTATAATACATTTCTTAATTATAACGGCACTTGTATCTCCAAATGAACGCCATTATTATTCCGTGTTATTAGATGTATAAAAGATATACCACTCTTGTTACTTCTCAAAAGATAATTCGAAATGATGAGCTACCATTGTCTTCTTTTTATTACTTGTAAAATCGATAAGAAATTAAATTATACAATATATTATATTAAATCGAATTGTCGTTTTATTGTAATATGATTTTTTATTTATAACAACACTTATTATATCTCTAAAAGAATCGATTATTATTTCGTAATATTAAAGATATAAAAGAGACAACTTTCTCGTTACAAATTAAATGATAGACGAAAATATTACAAATTAAATGATAAACGAAAAAAATAATGACGAATTATGATCTTAGTATGTTACGATCGTTAATGACGATTTACACACTATTACAGAAAGGTGTGCAGAAGCTGCAGGTGTCCAAGGGAAGAACATCAAAGAGGATCGACGGAAACGGGCGGCCCATCTGGATTGGGCCTTGGCCCGGGTCCGCCGATGGCGATGGCAATGGCGTTTCAAAGCGGTGCCGGGGCAGGCTCCCATCAGGAACCGTTCAAGAGCCCGGTGCAAGCGGCACCGGCTGGTCTTGCTCTCCAGGAAGCTCTGATGCATCATCAGAGGCACTCGCAAAGCGACGACGATAGCGGATGCGCACTCGAAGAGTACACGTGGGTACCGCCTGGCCTGAGGCCTGACCAGGTAAGGAAGAATGGTTAAGAGGATATCTCTTTTCACAGATTCCTATCTCATCCTCATATACATTCGACCGGGCGATCCTCTTTTTCATTTTCTTTTTTTATCATATTCGTCTTTTTATCAATCCCTTAAGGTATTAAACATCGAGTGTTGAGGTTTTGCGTGGACGCGTCCTTGAAATTTATACCTTTTAACTCTTCCGATTGATAGATTGGTATCTCGAGTACGACGTATAGCACAAAAATTCCTTTCTTTCCTTTCATCTTTTTTTCACTTTTAACTAATATACAACTCTCATTTATCATCGGCTCAATAAAACGATTAGTTTTTATCGCAATCACGAGTATGATGTCGTTTGCTTCGTACATTTTTTTTTTTATCTAACGGGGAAAAGCCAGATATATATGTATATACATATATATATATATATATATATATGTAACTACTTACGTATATCCTAGCTTACGTATTTTCACATTTTAATTATTTGTATATCTAATTACTATTTTAAAAGGACTAGACTGAAACGTACTCGTTTCACGATCGGTTATACCGCCGCGTGCATGGCCATTAAACCGTGAGAGCGCAATTTAATCCATGAGAACACCACCGCGACGGTATACTCTATAGTTATACAGGATGTTGCAGGAGTTGGGCGCGAATGAAAATGCACCGTAGAAAATTGCTCCTCGAGCGCGACTACTTATTAGATTAGACTGCTTTTTTACGCGGGATCGATTTCGTTCCGTTAATATCGATACTGATTTATTCAAATATGTGGATCAAAGTTACACCGTTATTATTGATCTTTCAAATATATATATATATATATATATATATATATATATATCAAAAATCATATATATTTGTTTAAGAAATAATTTTCTCTCATTCTTTCGTAATATATTAATAATTCATTAATTCAATAATATATTAAACCATTATTAATTTACTCTTTAGATAAATGATAAATAAATAATGTAGTAAAATGTAACGTCAATATTTTATGAATTTTTATTTCCATTTAAAAGTAAATATTATCTGATAAAAAAATAAATTAATATTTTATCGTAATATGATAGAACTTAATACATTATATATAATACATAATGTTGTTGTCTTTAAATGATATACATTATTTGATAACAAAGCTCAATTTTTACATACTTAATTGATAAGTTAACTCGTCTTTGCTAAATTTCTCATTATAAATGTGTTGAATAAATTTTTCCTTTTTTCTTTTATCTCTTATTTATACAATATTTATCTGAGAAAGTTTATACTACTTAAGATAATTGATAAGATTAAATTGTACATAAGATATAATTATATACATTCTTGCCAATTAAATAGGTTAAATGACAAATAGAGTCACTTCTATATTCTTTAACTTTTACTTTTCTCTATTTTTATATTTATCCTAAAGAGAACAAAAGAAAAGAAAAAGGATAAATTATTTAAATTATTTTCATAATTTGTTTACGATTTTTATTAAAAATATAAAAGCTACACAAATATATTATATTTATATAAAAGTATAAATTTTTAATAAAAATCATATTTATTATTATTAAAAATCAGAATTATATTATATTTGATATTTTTTTTGTTCGTTCATCATTAATTATATATCTACTTTAATACAATATATAATTATTCGTCGATGAAGCAAATATATCATGAATTTAATACGGTATCGTTGTTAACAGTTCCGTTTGAAATGTTATAGGTGCACCTGTACTTCAGTAGTCTACCAGAAGAGAAAATACCGTACACGGGTAGTGCCGGTGAACGCGAGAGGGTTAAGCAACTGCTTCAGCAGCTACCACCGCACGATAACGAAGCCAGATATTGTAGCGGTCTTTCGGAGGAAGAGAAACGTGAGTTGAGAGTTTTCGCGGCACAACGGAAACGGGAAGCTCTTGGTAGAGGACATGCGAGTCAATTGGAGAGGCCACACACCAGCGGATGCCGAGAATGCTCGAGGCCGATCGCAACCGGTGAGATGGCAGTTGCAGCGAGTCGTGCAGGTCCTTCTGCCCTTTGGCATCCTGCATGCTTCGTTTGTTGCGTCTGTCGTCAACTCCTCGTTGATCTCATTTATTTCTGGCGAGATGGGAGACTCTATTGTGGCCGTCATCACGCTGAAACATTAAAGCCACGATGTTGTGCCTGCGACGAGATCATTCTAGCTGACGAATGTACCGAAGCCGAAGGAAGAGCCTGGCATATGAGACATTTTGCATGTCTCGAGTGCGATAGACAGGTAATACCATTGAGGATCTATTTTTTTTCTTTGATTTCATTCTAATCCAAATAAAATAATATAAAATAAAAATATTAATAATAATAATAACTAATATACTTTCCTTTTAAATGACATAATTGTACATAATTTCTAACTCTTCATCAAATCAAAATATCACTTTTCCAAAGTAAAGTGATAGTGATAGTATATTATTTTATTATTGAAAATATTGAAAATATCTATATTCGACATTGATATCCATTGTGGCTGATGTCTTTAACTTTATTTACTTATCTTCAGAAACTTTGAGGAAAGGGGATGAAGAGAACATCGTTTCTTTCTTTTTTATTGATAGAATTTTCGTAAAAAAAAAAAAAAAAAAAAAAAAAAAAAAAAAGAAAGAAACCTAATGACGGTATAAATAACGAAATTATTTTTTGCCATCTTTTTCTTTTTGCGACGACATTCGACCTAGTGAATAGAAATGTAATGCCGTTTTTACGACGGCATTCAAACGCAAAGAATTAAAATGCAATTATTAAAAGTAATTTTTAAATGCAATTTTATATAACCAATGAAACATTTGCAGCTAGGTGGTCAGAGGTACGTTATGAGAGAAGGACGACCATATTGTCTACGTTGTTTCGATGCCTCCTTTGCCGAATATTGCGATAGTTGCGGCGAGCCGATAGGCGTTGACCAAGGTCAAATGTCACACGAAGGTCAACATTGGCACGCGACCGAAGCATGTTTTTGCTGTGCCACTTGTCGTACCTCACTTTTAGGCCGTCCTTTTCTTCCTAGACGCGGTGCTATTTATTGCAGTATAGCCTGTAGTAAAGGAGAACCACCAACGACTCCGAGTGATTCTTCGGCCGGTCCTCCACCTCCGCCATCTTTTCTTAGGTAAATACATCATAAAAATTAATATTTAAGCTTCCTGTAATTCTTTCTAATGGATCATTTAAAAGTTATTGAACGATTATCGTAATGATGTCTTTTCAATTCTAAACAAATTTATATACTTTTGTAAATAAGAACTGTTCTTTTCCTTTTCTTTTCTTCTTCTTTTTTTATTCTATAGAGGTAGAAGACAAACAGTACCAACGAGCGAAGGTTCCTCGAGTCCACCACCACCTCCACCTCCTCCACCACCGCCAGGATCCAGACACGTTTCAGGATCCCTAAGAAACTCGCCAAGATTGACAAGGAAACATCAGCAGGTCTCATCCTCGATTGCGACAACCCCAACACAGAGTACCTTGAGTCCAGAATTCCCAACGGAGGGATTTTCCACTAGTGGATCTAGGGGTGGAGGTCTCGATAGGGTACTTCTCGAAAGGAATCTCGAGAGATTGTTGCAAGAACGTGGCTCTCACCCTGAAGAAAATCGTAGCGATTTGGGAAGGTATGATTGTCGTGATTTTTGAAGATATATCCTTCGAAAAAAGAAAAAATAAGGAAAGAAAAGAACTCCTTATGATCGTTCATATAAAAAATACTATAAAAAAAAAAAAAAAAAAAAGAGCAATCGATTCATATGGAAGAACTTTTTTGACGACGTATCTTATATCTTAATTAACTCTAATTGTCCACACTTCAAAATAATTTTCAAATTTCAAGTGTTCACTTCGAACAACTGTCATTTATACAGAATGTATAATTTTGACTCCAAAAAAATACTGTATAATTTTTTGAAATCACATTTATATATAATAATCGGTAGATTTTTTCGAAAATGCATCTTCAATACTGTCATTATAAAAAAAAAAAAAAAAATTATGAATCATGAAATGCGCAAATTGAGTTCAAAGTTTGTCTGGGTTATTGCCTCTACAGGTACAATTAGGTTTAAGAAAATAATTTACACTTAATTGATCATATTAAAATAGTTTTCCAAAGTTATAAACATTTCTAATTTGCAGACTAATGCAAGCGAGGGATCGGGAGCCACTTCGATGCGTTCAAAACTGTACACCTTCCCACGCTTCAAGCATGCCTGAACTCCCAGCGCCTACATTGAGAGCTTCACCTTCAACGTCGGTACCACCTTCTGGTGGTATTGCAGCTGGTGCATCGACGATTACGTTAGCACAAGAATCGCCAATCTCGCCAACGAATCTCGCTACAAGTCAAACGGATCCACCGACGCCTACGTCGCGACGTGTGCGATTCCAAGGTGACTTGGACGTAAACGATCATGGGGCAACACCATCGTCTAGTAATGTCCCTATTTCACCAGCTAACGATACCAATTCATCATCCTCGCCATCTCCACCACCAAATAATCCTTTGTCCAGGACGAACGTTCCACGATCGAGAAGTTTGCAACCCGAGGAGGTCGCAAGTACGTCGACTTGGGGTGCGTCGAATTCCTATCGTTCTTCATGTATAAATGGAAATTTTACACGGGGTTTACTGTAAATCAATGTAATACCGGCGTATATACTTCGTTGCCTATGAAAGACATTCCAAGGAGTTCGCAAATTCCTGAATTGTCTAAAATTATATATACCGGGTATATCTATACAAAAATTCTTCAAATTCTTGAGAATGAGGAGATTAATATTCGCATAAGTAGAATGAAATTTGAACGGAGAATCTCGAACGGATTTATTAAACTTATTTTCCTTACATTAATCTATCGTAAAAATATCTAATTTATATTATTATTTAATCGCGTTATAATTTCCATTTATTTCATAAAAATTATCAATTATAACATCAATAAAGATTGTCTTTCGATCTTAAAGCGGCCTATAATAAAAAAAAAATATTTATCATTATTGTCAACAGGTGTGGCCAGTTCGTCAAGGTCAAGACTGGACGAGGCAGAGGATGCTGAAAGTTGCTGTTCGACTTGTAGTTCTTCTAGTAGTTCTGACGAGGCCGCAGCATACGCTTTACCACCTAGAAGAGCTTACGGTGGTGTACGTATTTCTTACGTACCGAATGATGCGGTTGCGTGCGCGCGGAAACGGACTCAACCGTCTTCTTCCTCGTCAAATCAAGCTCAAAAGGACACCGAAAAATGCGTCGTGTCTTGATGATCGTGCTTAAATATCCGTAGGACATCTTGCGGTTTTTTTATTACGCTTAACGTTTGTACGATCGATGGATCTCCTTCCTCTTGGTGTGCGCGACGAGAAACGAGCAAAGACTTTAGAGACAAAAATATTGAAGGGAAAAGAAAAAAAGAAAAGAAATAAAAAAAAAGAAGAAGAAGAAGAAGAAGAAGAAGAAGAAAGAGAGAAAAAAAGAAAGAAAGAAAAAAAAACAGAGTTCCTAAGCGTTACAATAGTGTACGCTTTTCAGTATCTTCCAGAGCATAGGCCTTTTCGTATATTTTGTTCTCGTTAATGTTCGTTTCAACTTGAAAACGCAATTTCCTTGATGGCAAGTCTCATTGTAAGCGTCTATATATTGTTGAACATTCGCATAGGAAAGTTTACAGAATAAGTTCTTTTTTTTTCTGTTTTTTTCTTTTTTTTTTTTTTCAACTATTTACAATAGTACCATATACAATCGGATTACTATAATAATTTCATTCGTAACGATTAAGGTATCGTTATATAAAAATCATTCATTGTTATTCGTAAAGAAATTCCTTAAGTTCTTAGAAACAATCTATTTTCATCGAACATTCTCTCGAAACATTCCTAAGCTCGTTTGCAACAATATATATATGCGACAACGATAAAAACAATAATAATAACAACGATCAAAGATATTTCAAATAGAGACCGACTGAAGACTTTTCTCACGAATTTATTCGTATCGGAAAATCTCAGTGACAGTTTTTGCCTCGCGGCCATACACCCTCATCTATTTTTATTATTCTCGTTGATGTACTACTTGATGACGATAATAATAATAATAATGATAATGATGTTATATTTTAAAGAAGATCCGATGATTCGATTTGAAGATTTTTATTTGAACAATAAAACCCCATCCTTTTCTTTTTCTTTTTTTTTCAGTTTCCTCAATTAAAAGAATTTTTAACGACTTCGATGGAATAACGTAAGTATCAATGTTCGTCGATTATTTTCATGGATAATGAAAATGTAAAATTTTTTTTTTATAAAGGAACAAACAGAGAGAGAGAGAGAGAGAGGGATGAAAAGAATTAAAAGAAAGTATATTACCCAGTTAAGGACACAACTTCATTACATTGTCATTCTCATCGCAAAAGGGTCACATACTTTCTCCCTCTTTTAAGACCATTGTATACTTCCACGCGCTAACAAACATCTCGTTAATGAATTCTTGCGACACAATTATGACAGTTTTTAGATAGAATCGCCTAGAAATGTCTTTTCTCTGAATATGTTCGTATGTGACCATACATATTCTTCGTGAAAATCTTTAATATGAGCGTGATTGCATATCGTTCGCGTAAACTTTTTTTTTTTTTTTTTTTTATTATATTTATAGCCACTGATTAATTGGAACGAAATATGAAAAAAATTTTTTACACGAAGTTTCATTTATCATTGCAAAAAGTGTGCGAATTATAAATTTTCAAATGATCAGCTATTTTATCATACAAATAATTTTTGTATTGATAATCAAACGAATCGATTTATCGGGAAATATTAGATATATTTTTTTAGAATCTGCAAGTGTTACTTTTCTTTCCTTTTTAATTTCAAACGAATTGAAAGATCATTTTTAAAACGATCCTCGATTGAATGAACAAAATTTTTAACAGTAAGAATTCACGAAAAAGATCGGATCGATTTCATTGAAACTTCTCGAAAAACTTTTCTTATGAAAAGTAAAGATGTTTTTTGGAAACTTTTCATTTTAAAAAAGTCAATATTCTTTCATCAGGGCCCAGAATGATGCGCGAAAATAATGATGCGTGTTAATAATATTTCTAAAAGCCCATTAAAGATATAATGCACGTTAAATATAAACTTTTATACTATTTTTTTTACACGCTAAATATTAAATTTAATATCTTCTTTCGTGATGATTAAAATAGGCGGCATTCGGAAAATTTTCAAATTATTTTAATTATTTCTATCTTATCATTGTTATAGGAAAGAAAATTCAATAAATAGTCTGTCTCATAAACATCTGCTTTAATAAAAAAAAAATATATGCCTTATATATAATATATATATATTTTTTTTTTTATAAAAATGAATGAATAATTATAAATCGATATTGATTAGAAAAGAGATAAAACGAATAGAGGAGTAAATTTTTGAAATTTTTATTAATAATCTCAAAGATATATCCATTAATTACGAACCATTTTTTATCGATTAATAACGTAAATAATCGTAACCTTGATACATAATTAACTTATTTCAACAATTTTTCAAGCAAAACATTTTATTCATTAACGACTGTCGTACGAACCATATGCATAAGTCTCAAATTATCCATAAGGATTTGATTTTTGTTAATTAGTAAATGAAAATATCTACCTCCGATTAAATCGAGGATACATTGAATCGATCACAAATCATAAATCAAGAAATTCTCATTTGGATTTATATTTTGAATATAGATGTTGATATGCATAATGGATAGGCACTACGTTTTCTACAATTACTACATCAAAGATTACGAAATTCTTATCGAAGAATTTTTTCTATCTAAACTAATTATCATGTCCCATTTTGTCTTATGTTATTCAAAGAGCGTGATAAAATAATATCGCACAGGAAAAAGAAGTCTGTATTAACTAAATTAAACAAAATTAAACAAAAAATATTTTTGTTAACGTATTAACGTATTAACGTATTAACGAAATAAATGATTAATAAATTGCCACTTACTTTGGCGAAAAGTTCGTGTGATGCTATGATAATCCTTCTTACTGAAAAATTGCACGGTCTCATAATTTGCAATATCAGTATGAGTAATATTTTTTGAGTCTTTATCGACAACACATAAAATGGTACTTGACAACTATACGGATGGTTTACATGTACGTATTTAAAACTTCATAAATCTAATTTAATTGTATAAATGTTTGACTTATATCGTACTTACCATTTTGTAAATACAGCACTGTTATAATTCATTAACATTTGTCCGGAATAACAGTAAACGTATATCAAAAGGAGGCTTGAAAGTATGTAGGTACAATCGGAAATAATTTCGCTAATTGTACTTTTCAAAGTAAAAATCTGAAACAGCTTTGATTTTTATAACATAAATAATGTTACGTTAGATTAAATCTTATTAAAAAATTTTAAGACATATAATACACATACAATATGTCCACTTACATAAAGATAATCTATAATGATAAAAAACAATCCCAATGATATTTCTATTAAGTAAGTTGATCCAAATACGAATTTTATTAAATCAACAAATCTTAAAAGAATATATTAAAAATTAATATATTAAAAATTAATATATTAAAAATTTCACGTTAAATATTGTTCAAAAATTATAACGATTTCCATTGAATACAAACCTAATGGCTTTCCCATAGCTCCTTATAATAGTTACAATCCAATCGTATTCCATATTCTGCGATTTAAAAATCTTTTTCTGCCGTAAACAATCCAAATTTATTTTAAACGGGCTATCTAATTTTATCCTTTAGAATATTAAAAAAATATATTCTCCCTATTAAACAAATTCTCGACCATTGATCGTGAATTTATTTAAAAATGTGCTAGATTAATTACTTACAATACAATATTGAACAAAGCAAAAGCATGTTGAAAAATTGATATGAACAATGAATAGTTAGCCATTCCTATCGTACATACGATGAATATTGCAATGAATTCCACCAAAAGTATGATATAGTAAAACTTGATATTTATTAGACCAATTTCTATACGTATTGGTAATATAAATTTTGTCTTGTCAGTAATACGAAATATATAGAAGAGATTGTAGATAGATGGAAATATTAAAGCAGTGATGTAAACATAAGAAAAACCTAATATATATAGAATATATATATATATGTATAATATTTTTATATCACCATTGATGATAGAAAATTAAAATAATATTTTATATTTCTGTTATACTCACTTAAGATCAACATCGACCATAGTTTACTTTTATTCGAGTATTTTATCATTATAATTAATTCATTCTCGTCCTTTAACTCGTTCCAATCGTTTTTAATATGATTTATTATTAACTTCATCTTTAAAATTATATTTATATCGTTGAAAACTCATTCAAACGTTTAAAAATTAAATACTGATGATTAAATAATTCCGAACAAACCTTTGCATAATTATGAATAAGATTATAATAATAGCAAGTCGAAAAGCATATGCTCGGAAGGAACGTTTGAAGTAATTTGACGATCATCTTAAATCGTTTTTTTGATTCCAAATTATATAAAAGATACAACTCTAAAAACTAATATTATTTTTATCAATTTATACATATACAGAAGAAAGAAATTTTGATATTATATCTATACATGTACCTATAACTCTTTGAGGTTAAATCGATTAAAAATCGTACCACTTTTTGTTTAGTTTTTTTATGCACAATAGGATATATTTTTAAATCATCTCGAAAAGTTAAAGTTACTCGTAGTCATACGTAGGTTTAATATTTTATTTGAAATGAAATATTAAAAATTATATAATTATTATTATTATATTTAAAATTCTGTGCAATGTGGATTTTTATTTTCTTTAAAATCGTCTGCCTCAAAAAGATAAAAACCAAATCTTTCTTCTACACGAATCAACTTTTGTTCATTCATAAATCATTCATGAATACTACAAAATCCCATTGTTAAATATCACGATAATAATATACGTACATATTATATACTATATATACTATATCATAATATTATTTACCTGCATAAAAATAACAAACACTAAAAGAAAATTTAACAAACGAACACGTAACAATTTTTTCGGTGATTTCTGATAAGACAATAAACCAAGGAACATAAATAACTTTTCGTTAAGAATACTAGAATGTTTCTCGAAATAATCTATTTTTTTCAAAGTCATTGTCCCTTCTGTCAGAGTTTTATTAATCGTCTATGTATCGAAACCCCTGAAATATAATTTCTTCGTTTATAGTACAGCTATCGGACCCTCTTTCAATTCTTGGAAAATATTTTATGGGAGAAATTGTGAAAATATAAAAAAATCCTTGCAATTTAACCCTTCCAATATCTTTACACACTACTATTATTTTCTCCTAAGATTCGATTTATACATAAGTAATTAAACAGATGTATCTTCTCAGCAATTTAGTTTATTATTCTTATCTTTATATCGTACGTCTAAGGGGATATCTTTCCCCTTCCACAAAGGACATGCGCATTACCCTCTCTTTACCATTAAACACTGATCGTCCACAGTATATTTTTGTAACTCGAAGAGAAGTGATCGTATCAGAAAGTAAAACAACGTAACAAAGAATTGAAACTTATAAAATATAATTGTAATTGTACATGTCGCATAATTTATAAAAAAAAAAATAAAGTCGAAGGTAGTGTATAGAAAAATTTTACCCTTTCAATATTTCATAAAATTCAAACTTATTTTATTTGTACTTAGAATATATAATAGTGAATAATACGAGAGAATAAATTCTAGTGACAGTGGATATATTGTTGTTTAATACTTGGATATTATCTATGACATAATGAAGAAATAAAATAGAAAAATATCCTATAGTAAATTTTTGTGATATTAGTGTGATAGTGTATTGATTTAGTAAAACCTTATTAATAAAACAAACTCAAAAAATTATAGTGAGATCTAGAAAATCTATATAAAATGAAATTTTCAAAATTAATCGTTTCAAATTTTTATCATCGATGAATGATATTATTCAACATGCTTCGTAATATTCAGTGATTATTAAATAAAAATTTTGATATTTATTAATAACAATTCAAATATTTGAACTGAGTAATATAAAAAATAAAAATAAATTCTATACTCAATTATTTAATTAATCTAAAGTGCTAAAAAAGAAAAAAAGAACAAAATCAAAATAATAAAATAATTAATAATTTACATTAATAATAATTTAATGGAAATTTCAATCGTAAATATATAAAATAATAGTGAATAATACGATATATAAAATGAATTAAAATAATATAACAAAATAGTAATAAATATTGCTTTTTAAAAAAATAATGCAAATTTATAATATTAATTACGTAATCGTCGATAACATCGGAGGTGTGGAAAGTGGTTTTTTTCTTTTTTTTTTTTTTTTTTAATTTAGTCACTTATCTCGATTTTGTATCTCGTTGAAGACGATCAAAAGTGTATTTTCGAAATTTCATACTTTTTTTTTGTTTATTACAGAAAAAGCAAAGATGCAACACATATAGCAAAAAAAAAATTATTCCTGCTTTTCACAGAGATAATACGTTAGTTGATAAAATTGTTAAGAAATGATTCGCAATGTTTATTGTTGGAAATTTTAGCCTTGAAGATTTTCCCGATAACGTTCAATAAGACCTTTCAATACTGATAATGATGACCAAATCAAAATATTGATCGATATTATTCAGCACTATACGCATATTACGATATAACAAAGATATTAGATTTAACAATTACAATTAATAATTATTTAAATAATAAAATTAGATCGATAAAAATCGATCGGTAAAAAAAATCGATCAAAATCAATAAAATAATTTGATTAAAATCAATTATATCTTTCAATGATAATACTTTCTCGTATTATTATTAAATCTTCTTCTCTTTCTTTATCTCTCTTTTTTTTTTTTGTTTTCTTTTTCTTTTTATTAGCCCGATAATCTATCAATACTCATGGTCTCAACATTTAAATGTCACATCTATTAAATATTTCTTTTTTTTTTTTTTTTTTTTTTTTTTAATTTAATTAACACATCAAAAAATGAAGTTTGAGTGGAACGAACGACATTATCGATCGTTCAATGGATCAAGATCGATCGATCGATCGAACACATCCCTACTATGAGGCATGAACTAACGGATCACATGTTATTCCGTTCGTGCACAACTTTTGCGCCGCTGTGTGCGCTCGTTAGCGAAGAGGCTTTCTCCATGGCTTGGAATGTGGCCTCTCCCTGGTTTGCTTCGAGGACGGCCCCCATAGCGTGTACTTACGTTGTCCATAGTTTGTATATATAATGTTATTCTACAGCTTTTGTCCTTCCCATTCGCTTCTAATCGAGCGCGTGCTCGAATATACTTTACGATCTCTTTGCCCCTTCTTTGCTCGCTTTTCTGGCATGCCGAGAGACGCATAAGACGCGTACCTTCCAGCTCGTTCATCTTTAAAAATAGAAAAGTGAACAAGAAAAAAAGAAATGAATAAAAATAAAATGAGAAAAAAATAATAAACGAATTTAACTCGAAAAGAGGTTAATCGATTTTGTTTTTTTTGTTTTTTTTTTTTTTTTTTTTTTTCTTAATATCACATAAGAAACCTTTGATCCGTTCAGAAACCAAAAAACCTTTGACTCATCCTATAAAATTTAGCCGTACGCCTGCTAAATCTAAATCTATCTTAAAAGCACTATTTATGAATATGATTATTATATATATGTATATATAGTAAAATTTCCTTAATCTATAAATATTTCAAGATAAAATATAAATATTCAATGAATACTTAAACATCCGATCGATAAATCGATATTTTAGATAAAATTATTATTTCCAAAACAAATAAAAATGTAAAAGGCTATTTGTATTTGATATATTTTATATTTTCAATTTACGAGTGTTTAAGTTTTAATTCGATACGAATTAATATTATCTACTTATTAATTTTTGCTTTCGTAGAACAATTTTTTCTACCTTCGAAGAAAATTTCTTTTTTTTCCTTTTATAACTTGATAATGAAAAAAAAAAAAAAAAAAAAAAAAAAAAACTATAAATCGGTTGATAATCTTATAGAGAAAAATTGTTCTAAGAGTTATACATAAGTTCTTTTTTGTTTTTTTTTTTTTTTTTTTTTTTTTTATGAGTAATAAAATGATCGATATTGTTTTAGTAATGGGAAAACGAATCGATTGCAATGTATTTTAAGAATAAGAATTATCAATGAATGAATCGTTGATCGCTATAAAGTTGAAAGATTATAATAAAGCACGTGCTTTTATTGTTCTTCGATCGATCAATACAATCAATAAAATAAGATTCTCTGATATATATTAATTCGTTAAAATTAGATTAAGATCTATGTCGATTGTATATTATTTCATTAGAATTAAAATAACCGATCTGAAAGAAACCTAATCGATCGATCTATGAATATTAAATTTATTTTGCATTATACATAATATGAAAGTCAACGAGGAACATTTCTTTCGTGAGTAATACGTCGAACATGCGAGTCGACATACTTGAATCGGAAAATCGGTGCACACAACGTTCAGAGCTAGATTCTTTCCTCTTTTTTCTTTCTTTCTTTTTTTTTTTTTTTTTTTCCTAACGAGTTACAAGCGAGTTCAGCAACATACTTTATTTGAAAACTCGTAACTCGCGATCTCGGAAAACGCATAAGAATAAGTATTCTTGTGGATTATTCGATTAGTATAGATTTAAGTAAACCTTTTTTTTTATTTATAATTTATATATATATATATATATATATATATATAAAGGAAAAGAAAAGAAAAAGAAAAAGAAACTACATGATAATTTTAAAAAGGAAAGAAAAAGAAGAACGTATACGATATAAAAAAAAAAAAAAAAAAAAAAAAGAAGAAAAAAAGGAAAAAAACAAACCCTACATAACGATGTATCTTATCGAAAGTAAAAGCCTTCGTATTAGTATATTATACGTATAACGTATGAGAATAAATCAAAGATTTAAAGTGAGCCACTCCCATCATCGATAGTTCGTTTACTACAGAGGCAAAGATGCATTGTCGATAACAACGTGACACCTTCTCATCGGCTAGTCGAACATCCTTTTTATTCTGTGCAATTTCCTCGGGAATGAAGTAACATCTTTACGAGCGATAGCGTTCGCATACTGCTCGCGGTTCAAGGATATTGAGTACATATTCACAATTAAGTGTGGCGCAAACTCTGCCTAAGAGATACGCGTTGGTGGTTCATTAAAAACCAAGGGACACGTCAGCTACCAATTCATAAATCATATCTCATGTGAAACATTGATTATCACTATCAATGTTTTATATTTATGCATATATTTTCGGTTTCGTTTGAACTATAATAATAAGTAATATCCATTAAAGAAAATTACGGTGAGATAACCCTAACCTTTTATTCCTACATTAATAATCATCGTCATCGTCTCGATATTTCTTTTTTTTTTTTTTTTTTTTTTTTTCTTTTCAAATCCATTTCCAGTTTCATTCGAGCATCGATGATTATTATCAATTATTGATTATAGTTTGTACGTATTAAAGTAGAACAAAAGAAAAAAATAATATAAAAAAGAAATTAAAGAGATTATATTACATGATAATCGTGTAATCATCAATTATCATTAACATCCATCATATTAATAAATCACAATTGACGTTATACTAAGACAAAAAAAGAAGAGGACAAAAAAGGAAATGATTATATTTTTGATTGATCTCATTTTTCTTCCTCGTCGTAAATAACAGATTTATATATATATATATATATATATATATATATATAAATAATCATATATATACACATATATAAATAACCATATCTACATACACACATGTATGTAGATATATCGAAAGTCACGCTTCAAGGATGTCCCATCCACGATACGACCTTCAATTTACATATTTTCATGTCGACCATTTTACACCTGCTAAAGGTCGACTTAGGAGGCGATCTCTCTATCTTTCTTTCTATCTATCTTTCTCTCTCTCTCTCTCTCTCTCTCTCTCTCTTTCTCTGACTTTTGTTTCTTTTCGTTACCTACTAAAATTCCCGAATTAAAAAATAAAAAAAAAATAAAAAATAAAACGAAAAGGGAAAAGAAAACGAAAAAAGAAAAGGCAAAAAGAAAAAGAGAAAAAAAAAGAAAAAGAAAAGAAATGGAAAAAAACAAAATAACGAAGGAAGCGTTCCTTCGAAACGTTAATATTTCATTTCACTTTTACATGAGAAAACGGCCTTTCTCTTCGTAACCATCCTATCGTTCCCACGATCACCACGCAACGAACGATTTAAACGGAACCAACCGTGTTTTGTCATAGTACGAATGGGATCACGATACACAAGTGAATTTTGCGACAAGACAACAACAATGAGGAAGATCACTTGGGTACGGTTCATTGTTCCAAAAGTGGCAAATGATTCTTTTTTTTTTTCGTTCTTTCTTTCCTTTTTTCTTTTCCATTTTATGAGAAAAATTTTCACTCACAATTGACACCATAATTTAAGTAACAATAATCTATATAAATGTGTATATATATATATATATATGTATATATATGTATATATATAGCTTGGTCATATTCACTCATGAAGAGATTAAGGAGGAGGATGTTGACATCGGTGGACACGTTTCTTCTATGCTTGTTTTCAACGCTGAATAAGAGAATATTATATACACACACACACACACACACACACACACACGCGCGCGCGCTCATACATATATATATATATACATACATACATACATGTATACTTACATATATGCATGTATACATATATACAAACATACAAACATACAAACATACATGCATACATATTTATATATGTATACATACACGTATATAAATATATGTATATATATATATATGCATGTATGAATATATGCATATGTATATAATAACTTGCCGAGTATTATGAGAGGGAGACCCTTTCTGACTATGTGTACTTACTTACGCGAGAGAGTCTCTCTTTCGTTAGCAGAATGGTGGGATAAGCTCAGCTGCTACGGCAGGTAAGCATAGACAGAATACAGCGAACATAAGTTTTAACGAGTTGGGAAAAGAAGAATGAGAGAGAGAGAAAGAGAGAGAGAGAGAGAGGGAGAAAAAGGAGGGATAGAGGATAGAGAAACGGCGAACGAAAAGAAAGATAAGAAGAAGGAGAAAGAGGAGAAGGAGTAAGTAGAAGAAGAAGAAGAAGAAGAAGAAGAAGAATAAGAAGGTGGTTAATAAAGAAGGGGAAGAAGAAGGGGGGACGAGAAGATGAGGAGGGGGCAGGGGAAAAGTTCTCGTTCTCCGACACAGCAAAAGCAGTCAGTCCGAGACGAGATCCCGTCGTGTGATCTTCTCTCTCTTTTTTTATTCTCTTTTTTCTCTCTCTCTCTCTCTCTTCCTCTTCGTTTCTCCTTTTATTTATCTTTATCTTTCTCGTATTCGTTCTCGATTTTTACGTGAGTAAAGATTATTACGTTCGAGATATCGCGCAGCGAAAAGTTTCGTGATTCTACAAACGATTATTTCCGTTAATCATCGACAAACAATATTATTTTTTAGGGTGTCAATACGTACCCACGTATAAATGAACAACAATATATTGTTATATTATTTCGTAAAGAAATACACGAGCGTTACCAAAATGGCCGCGCACTGAACTACGAGGGACTTATACGAAAGCGGCAGTATCCAAGCGGCAGCTCGATTCTCAACGTGTGTGACGACATGAGTTGTCGTCGAGACGTTCGACGTTTACTTTAGAAAGGGAAAGGAGGGGAAAGGAGGGGAAAGGACGTCTGTCTTTTTCTTTTTTTCTCTTTCTTTCTTTCTTTCTTTTTTTTTTTGTTTTTTTTTTTTTTTATTTCTTCTTCCTCCTTTTTTCTTCGGAGTATCGCAGCTTCCCTTTCTTTTATATATATATATATACATTACTCTGACTGGCTATAAATCTAGGTGGACCTATACAAGGTAAGAATGAACATAACTATTTATTTACACTATGATATCATTGTTTACGTTTAATGTTGGGAAATGTGCAGGTTATTCTCTCTCTCTCTCTCTCTCTCTCTCTCTCTCTCTCTCTCTCTCTCTCTTTCTTTCTCTTTCTCTTTCTCTCTTCCTCTCTCACTTATTCACTCTTTTTCTTTCATCTTTTTTCTGTCGATAATAATTATAAATATATATTCTTTTTATTTATAAAATATATACGCTGTCCCGTCTGATCGATTTCAATGAATATATTCTCTTGGGGAAAAAAGAAAAAAAAAAAGAAAAGAAAGAAAAAATATGAATAATAATTATTAACGATCATGCGTCATATGATTCCAATTCAATAATATTGGAATGAATGTGAAGAACTTGAATCGATAAATCGATACCTCAGATATATTCATTTTTATTATGTAAAGAATATTTCGAAGAACTTATTACAATCACAATTGATTATTATACTTTACGAATAATCAATTATTATTCGTTATACATATCTAATTACATATATATAGCTCCATTCGTTATATCGTTAAACATTGATTTCCTTTTATACATACTAATATCTCTCTCTCTCTCTCTCTCTCTCTATCTCTATCTCTATCCCTATCTCTTTGTATCTATTTATCTATCTATCTCATTCTCTCTGTTGCAAGGTTATATTTCCGTTTTACGTAAATATAATATCTTAGAAAACAGAATGCAATATTTGTAGTTATGAGAAACGATTATCTAGCGTCCCTTTCGATTTTATTATTATCGCGTTCCTTGCGATTTTCTCTCTCTCTCTCTCTCTCTCTCTCTCTCTATCTATCTCTCTCTCTCTCCCTTGTTCGCTCGCTCGCTCGCTCGCTCGGTCGATTTCTGCAACATTTCCTGGAGCGTCAGAGATCACTTTCATCCGCGCTCTTATCGCGGCCGTTCTATCTCCGTACGAACGAAGTATCGTGGCGCGCAAGGAATTTCGATATATCGCAACGACCATAGAGGTATTTAAACATTTTTCACGAATTACAAATCTTTATTATTCTGAAATGGAAAAGGAAAGAGATTCTTCGGTCTCTCTCTCTCTCTCTCTCTCTCTCTCTCTCTCTCTCTCTCTCTCTCTCTCTCTCTCTCTCGGTCTCGTATATTTTATTTTATTATTTTATTACGCTATGTATTATATTTATCTTATTGTTAATTTTGTTACTTTGACAAGTTCTTTAATATCGATAAATATCATTTAATCCTTGATTTTAGATTATTATACTTTTAATCTGAATTTTATTTTATTTTTGTTATGTATTATTATTTTACATTATATATATATATATATATATATATATATATATATTGTTTAATATGCATATAAGAATGTAAACAATATAATAAGTTTAGTTACAAATATATTATAATGACAATTATATTATATATATTACATATATATATATATATATATATATATATATATTATTACATATATATTATGATGTAATAATAAATGAAAAAATTCATATAAAATTTAAATTAAAACTATATTGATATATAATAATATATTTTTATAGTGAAATCTTTTCTTCGATTTCTATAATATTATTTTTACTTTTATTCTTCGTACGCTCTATATAGCAATTACTTTTTCCTTTTTTCATCATCTTCTTCTTCTTCTCTTTTTCTCTCTATAAAAATTTAGTTCTAGTAAGAAAGAAGCACGAGGAATGAATTCTTTACGGAATGCCTGTGGCACGAAGGTTTCTCCGCAGGAATCCAGCGCGCGTTCATATCTCCGTCTGGTTTGGGCGGGAATTAAGAACGAGCGCGTGCGCACTTGTGTATCTCAACGGTACTTTTCCGAAGTGACGAGAATTTTTTTCGGGAATCAAAATCGAACGAATTCAATCTGATAGTAATAAAAGAATTCCTTTTCGTTTTTTTTATTATTATTATTATTTTTTTTTCTTTTTTTTTTGGTTTTTTTTTTTAATATTTTACACTTGCTTTCAGTTTCTAATTGATTTGCTTAATTCATTCTTTTTTTTATATATTTTTCAACGATATCCAACAATTTTCAATCGATATATATGTATATATCGATTTAACATTTCTTATAAATATTCTAAAGTATTTCAAGCTGGTATATTAACGCTTGAAATAATATATCTACCTGTCGAATAAATTTTGCATAAATCTATAAATTTTTTTAACGCCTCTTGTAAAATTTCTCGAAATATAAAATATGTAGAAAAAGAAATTCAATCTTTCGTATTTTTTATTTATCGAAATATTTTTATTCTTGTCGCTTATCATTATTTACGACATTCGTTACATATCCAATCGATTCGATTAAAATTCGAAGGGATATCGTTTAAAAGAAAAGAAAAAAAAACAAAAAAAAAAAAAAAATAAAAAAATTCAAAGAATCAATCGAAACTCTAATACCTGATATTGACGAGTATGACAAATTTTCTAATCTCTAAATGATCCAGAACCATTTCAGATATCTCATTTTTATGATTTATGATCGAGTTCGTGAGAATTGCAAAACATCAGTAATACTTCCTGCGCGTAATCCAAGAAAATTCTTTTCTGATCGACTACGAGGATCGATAAAATATCGAATAAAATGTTTTCTATCGATTTCTGATTAATGATCTCTACTAAGAAACAGTACAGTTTACACTCTCTTTTTTCTCGACATTCCTTTCGAATATACGAAACAGTATGTGCGAATAGTATATGCGAACGATCGAAGACGACCATCAATTAGCGTCTACTTTTCTACTCGAAAATTTCATCGTATATTTACTATAATAATTTAATCTTGAGTCTATATACGTTCTTTCTTAAAACTATATTTTTACAATTTTTACAAGAAGAAAAAAGAAGAAAAAAAGAAGATTCGATAAAAAGAGAATATAAAGGAATAAAAGTAAAAATAATAATAAATTAAGAAAATAAATAGAAAAAATAAAATCAATAATTCTCCATTCTATTTTACTCATAAAAATATATTATATCGATGTATTTTCAATTGAAATTTTATATTATTGTTATTTATACACTATAACATTGAAATATATATATGCAGATACGTATATATACGATTTAGGAAACTGATAGTTACACCATGTTTTTACATAAGCAGTTATAATCAATTAATTCATCTGATTGGGAACAAGGTTGAATATGTAATAATAAGTAACTTAAATACGAATATCATATAAATTAATGATATAAATTATAGATATAATAGAAAATCATATAAATTATAGATATTAATTAAAGATATAATAGAAAATCTAACATATAAAAATTATCTTGATACAATGTCAATTCTTTTCTACATCTATAATTTCATATTTAAATATGTTTATTTATTTTTTTCGTAAATATTATTATTCAAAATAATTATTCGAAATTTTCTTATTATAAATTTTTAATTTTAATCAATAAATTATTATTACGAGTATATAAATTAATATACGAGTATAAATTAATATACGAGTAAATTATTATTATTCGAAAGAATATAAAATATATATATATATATATATATATATATATATATATATATATATGTATGTATTTTATACATCGTTGAAAAGTATTTTTCCTATTTATAATTTTTATTTTCTTCATTTTTAAAAATATTTTCAAAGTAAGTAAAATATAAACGGATAATATAAAATTAGATGTTTGGATGGTCGACAACGAGGAACTACGTAGAAAGTACTTATATATTCTGAAAAGAGAGAGAGAGAGAGAGAGAGAGAGAAAAAGGAGATACGTAGTAGTAGATACTTACATACCTATGTCTACGACGAGCAGAGCGAAAGTTTTCATGATTCCTTTTGCACGATCGCAACGAACCTGCCAATGAAACTACTAAGAATGAACTTTCTCGAAGGAAGACAAGACAGTTTTTCCATTATCATAACTTCAGGCCAAATTATTTTTCTCGTATATAATATCGAATGATATTTGAGAATCAAAAATGATTATGTCTGAATATATAAACTTTTATCGTCATATAAAAAGATTCTTGCATGCTTGTAATTATCTGTCGTTTGCGTGACTAAGTAATAAGTAAGCAGATACGTATATATTTTCATTTGAATATACGATCATCGTTATTATAAAAAGGAAATACGAAAAGAAATTAATTTAATATTTACATAAGTAAATATGAATTAATCAAAAATAATTTAAGTATATTAACTCGAGACATTTTTTATTTTTCCAATGAAAATATATATATATATATATATATATATATATATATATATATATATGTATAAAAGAAAAGAAAACAAGTAGTATAATTTCTTATTCTTACATAGTCTCTATTATTTTCTTCTTTTTCATTTCTATTTTCATCTTTTTGTAATAATTTTATTATAACCATCTTTTTACCTTCATTCTATAACTTTCTTTTTATTATGACTATTACAGAATTAAACATACATTTTCCTTCAAAAATAATACAAATAAAAGGATCATTTGATATACATTGATTAATTTGAATATTCGTACAGTACAAATATATACATATATAAATATATTATTATTTATTTGAATCGATAATAATGAAAAATAAATAATATTAGATCGTATTTTCGTATATTTACATATATCTCTAATATAGAAATATTTAAAGTCATCAATTTTATATAAAGATTTTTCTTCATTTCTTTTACGTGACATATCTTCGTCGATTTCTATCGATACTATTGACCCGTACGACTACGATAGAAACCAGTCTAGAAGCGTGCCATGATACTCACCTACTCGTTATGTCAATGAGAACGATGTACGGCATTGGAGTCTATCGGAATGCCGGTACGCTTTCCTTGGCGCACACAACATACACACATATACGCGAGCACACACACATACACACACACACATATACGCGAGCACACACACACACACACACACACACATACACACACAAAAGCATCGAAGGAGGACGTTCCCTCCTTCTCCTCTTTCTCCTCTTTATCCTCTTTCTTCTTCTTCTTCTTCTCTTCTTTCTCCTCCTTCTCCTCTTCCTCTTTTTCTTCTTCTTCTTCCTCCACCACTTCCTCCTCCTCATCCTCCTCCTACCTTCACCTCCACCTCCTCCTTCTCCTTCTTCTCTTCCTCCTCTTTCTCTTTCTCCTCCTTGAAACTTATTCACAAGGAGAGAAGAAATGAAGCTTCGTAAGTGGTCGCTAGCACTCTGCTTGCTAACTCTGCTTGGCCAGCAATAGCCATATTCATCTTTTATGTCTTTCACTTCGTTCGTCCCTGTGTCCATTTTTCCTTCCTTTTCTCGTTTATCTAGCTCTCCGTCGACCAAGCCTAACAACCATCTAGATAGATAGTTAAAAAAGGGAGAGAGAGAGAGAGAGAGAGATATATAGAGAGATAAAGAAAAAGAGAGAGAGAGAGAGAGAGAGAGAGAGAAAAAATTAAGGACGCGCGAACGAGCAGTATAAATACTATCGGGTTAGGTAATACCTGCTTCTCACTCATTTCACTTCACTGTGCTTTTCAATTAATCAAATTAATTATGCGTTCGATTTAATGCAGACAGTAATTCGCTCGATACCGGTTGGTCTTTTGTGACATTGGTTATGATATTAAAAAATATCGTAAATCGATGAAATATTTCGTATAATCGTTTTATTCTTTTAAAGTAATAACAAAGTTTTACAGTTTCATCGAAATAATGCTTAATCATACGAAAATTTTCTGTTTTATTATTTTTTTTTTTTTCTTTTCTTTTCTTTTATTCTCGGATAATTGACTCGTCCGTTTTATTTTTCTTCTTTTCTTCTTTTTTTTTTTTGCGAAATTTTACATTTCGAGTGAAATGAAATTATTATATTTTTTTCCTTTCTTTGTTTTCCTTTTTTTCGATTTTATAATCCTCTCATTGAAGTTTAAAATTATTGCTTGAAATTATACACAATTTTGTTTTAAAAATTAAGCAATATTTCTGCTGTTGTTTATATATTTATCAATAATGGCAAATATTTTTTTATCGATAATGAAAGGAAGAAAAATTTCAGTGATAACGCTTTTACGAGTTTTCGTTTAATCATCTTACAATTGTATGTATGTACATGTTTATAGATACGTTTTTATTTTTTTCTTTTTAAATTTAATTTTTCATTAAATTTTCAATTATATTTCTAAAAATGTAAGATTCATTCGTGTAAAAATAAATAAATATAATATTACGTTCAATTAGGATATTCCAAAAATATATATATTCCAAAGAAATATATTCAACACGAATGAAGAAATTTTTAGAATCATCCATTGTTGTTTTCGATCGAGGCATTCAAGATATGCTTGATCATGACGCAATAATATCTGCGATCTACGCCGTTCGAGCGTGCCAATTGTAAAGCTGTAACTTATCATTTTATATTTATCTAAATAGATGCTAATTATTTTTTTCTCCATTAACGATTTAAATCCAACATTTATACAATTTTTATATATATATATATATATATATATATATATATATAAATAAAAAAAAAAAAAAAAAAGAAGAAGAAGAAGAAAAAGCAAATTTTTAATCTTATTTTTCTTTCTGATCAAATTGATCAATAAAATTAATTTATTTCAACATACATTCAGGTCTATCTGATCGAAAGAAGCGGAGCTCGAGGCTCGAGCAAAAGTGACGCCCATGCCGGACTGCAAGAAAAAATTGCAGGAAAAGAAGAAGAAGAGAAGCAGAAGGAGGTGAATGGGAGGGGGTGGGGGGGAAAAAGAAGAAAAGAGAAGATTAAAAAAAAAAAGAAGAAACGACGAGATAGATCATCGTCGTCATCGGTTGCGATCATCGTCGTTTAAAATACAAAACGAAGAGAGATCGTGGAAGTCGAACGAGAGTTAAATAAAAAAAAGAAGAAAGAAAGAAAGAAAGAAATAAGGAAGGTTCTCCAAAATGGCGTCCACCATCGTCACACAGTTTCTGATATTTCTTACGTTGGCAGCATTATCCTTTCGGACAACACACTCTCACGTAGCTTTGACGTTTCCACGAGCTAGAAAATATGATTTGGATTTTCTTGACAATGGCAGGACACCTGGCCCCTGTGGTATGCCACGCGGTAAGTGACCGACTTTATGTAATACATACTTACGACGATCGATATGTAATACAGTAACTAGATACTGGAGTTGAATATGAATGGCACATTGACGTTAATGTGAATAACTCGTGCAAATGTAAACATAAGAAATTAAAGAGAATAGAATATATTATGTATATTATATAGAATATAATGGATAATGATGATTAGAATAAATAACGAATTAAATGATATAAATGAATAAATAGATATAAATGAAATAGAATGAATGAACGTTTACGTATATTTTTCATAATAATTCGTTTTGGAAACGAAGATATCTTTTTTATTTATTTATTTTTTTATTTATTTATACTTTTTTGTTTTGTTTAAACCTTTTGAAATTTTATTATTGAATACAATTGGATATAAATTTAATTGATAACATAATTGTATCCTCGAATTATTACAAACTCATTGAATATCTTTCATAACAAATCCATTCCTAGAATGATTGTATTTAAATAGAAATTCTAAACGTCCATTTCTATCGTCCGTAATATACATGAAAATTCCAAACGTCACGTTTATAATACTTGAAAGTATGTAGTAACGAATGTAAGGACAGGTGTTGGTTATCCAAGCTAAAATCACAAAAACGATTTTGCTTGAAAGATGGAATGTTAAAAAAAAAAAAAAAAATATATATATATATATATTCTCTTAGCCATAGAAGAATTCCTTGTTAAAAAAAAAAAATAGTTTCAAGAGAAATCCGTAACGTAATCTAAAAGAGAAAAAGGAAGGAAGGAAAGATAAAGATAAAGATAAAGAAAAAAGAATAAAGAAAAAGAAAAAATAGTTGCAGTCAGTTGGACGATCATCTTGAACGGTCTCAAGTAGCACATGCATACGTTTTAGGTTTATACTTGGTGCATACCACTTCGTATGTTCATCGATGCAGAGAGAGAGAGAGAGAGAGAGAGAGAGAGAGAGAGAAAGAGAGAGAGAGAGAGAAAGATAGTGAGAGAGGGAAGATTGGAGAGGGGAAGGAGGCAAGGTCTATGGGAAAACGACATTAACGCGGAGAGTCAATCTCTGAGATTCGAAGGGTAGAGGAGGAGGGGTGTTGAGGGACGGAGGGCAGGGGGAGGAGAGGAATATAGTCGAAGCTAGTTCGATTCGAAGCGACTTTCTCCGACAGCTGGTACGAAGGGAGCTGGTATCTCTCGTCGGGCATTACCTTCCACGTAGTATATATGTATATATATATATATTGGTTCTTACATGCGTGCACTTATCTGCCTTCGAGGGCACACATTTTGTATCCTAAGATATCTATAGGGTGTTCTTAATTTAATGAACATTTTAAATTGGAAAAATTAATACTGACTGAATTATTCATGATTCTCATTAGAGGGATGGCCGTGAAATAGAAAAACACGTCGAGGGGAAGGGGGCAGTGGGAAATAGGGGGTAGAGGAAACGCATTAATCATATATGTCAAAATGTTGATGGTTTAAAATGAATTTAATAGATATTTTGTAATTTTAAAGAAAATAATTGTAATCGTTTAAATTTCTTGACCATACTACAGAAGTTTTTTTATATTTCGATATATGAAACATTGGAAATGAAAGGAGTGAACGGAAAAGTGTAAGAAAAGAATTGGTGGATTTAGAAATGAGAAATTTATAAATTTCACAATGTAATATAAGTTTGTAGAGATTTAAAATGTTACACTATGGATGCATGTATTATATGTATATATTATCATTGACGGGTACTTCGAACGCATACACGAAACATATGTATATACATACATACATACATACATATATATATATATGTATGTATAAAACATACCGCAAGAGTATCGCAACGTTTTAACCGAGACTACTGTAAGTACGTTTAAGCCTCAATTTATCGCGAAAGTGTGAGTAAACGGTACGTAATGAAGGTATGGTACACTTTCCGAGCAACTTTTCATTCTGTATATATATATATATATATATATATATATATATATATATATATATATATATATATATATGTATGTATGTACTTACACACATTTGAGTATGTGTGTGTGTATATGTACATATATGTTTCCATGAAAGTATGCTTGAAATACCACGTTCTTGTACTCTATATCTTTCTTTCGAAGACGAAAGAGTAAGAGAGAAAAAGAGAGGGAGAGAGAGAGAAAGAGAGAGAGAGAGAGAAAGAGAGAGAGAGAGAGAAAGAGAGAGAGAGAGAACATATAGGAGTGTGCAATTGTCAAAACAAGTTCATTTATATATATATATATATATAAATATTTATTTTATCTCGAACGAGTTTTGCAACATCAAAAAATATCGTGCCTTTGCCTTCGATTTCTTATCTTTCAATGGCTACTACACATTCAAAAATTCCGTTCATCGTCGGGAACTGGTTATCGAATTTAAATTTTATTCTCGATTAAAAAGAAAAAATAAAAAAGGAAAGAAGAAGAAAACGATATAAATGAAAACGTGGATATAACTCTTAGACAATAAAAATAATCGAAAATCGATGGAAACATTTCCCTTTTCTCGAGTTTAAAAACTACTCTAAAACGACATTATCGGATAAATTAATTATTCTTGTTATTATCATCGTCATTATTATTATTGTTGTTGTTGTTGTTGTTGTTGTTATTATTATTATTATTATTATTATTATTATTATTATTATTATTATTATTATTATTATTTCATCGTATTATTATTCAACCGTTATCGATACGGTAAAAACATTGTAACACTTGAAGAAACATCGAAGAAATGATTTTCTTTTTGTTCGTCATTACGTGGAATAAATCTTATTTCTAAACAATTTGCAATATTTAAATCGATGGAAAGGAGGAAAATAGAAATTTATTTGTAATTAGAAATTTATTTAGAATAGAACTTTCTTTAGAATTTTTTTTAATATAATTACTATATAAAATTTTTTATTGAAAATTTAATAGAAAGTTCCGAGATTAATCTCGTCGGCCAAAACGAATACTTATCATTATTAATAATTCAAAATCCAATCATATTGTAATTATATACATTTATCCAACGTATTAGTATGCATATAGTGTATAAAAGCATTTCTCAATCTTTTTGCCACCGTGATCCAACACATTTTGTTTTATTTTTTTTTTTATAATGTTACGAGATCATCCAAATGTTTATAATATAAAAATTTGTTTTAACTCTTTAAGAAGGGGGATGGGGAGAGGTTGGATATCTGATTGGAATTGCGATATATATATACATATATATTAAATAAATTAATAAAATGATGCATATTTTTTATAAAATAATTTCTACACGTCTTAAACACAAATTTCAATGAAATGAATCTAATTCTATATCTTACGTTAATACTTCTTCACAAAGATTTTCATTTTCAATTTCGCATTTTCATTCAAATTTTAACACGATTTACATTATTATCCTCGATACCGTCATTTTTCATTTCAATTAGAATTAATCTCGAATCAAACGTACGCATTTGTTAGAATAAAATCTTGTCATATTTATTTAAACCATATTATTTTGCGTAATTTTTTTATTTATGAATCAATGGTTTTTTGTTTTTTTCGAAAATAATGATTTACTTTAGAGAATACTATTTTCATATATATATATATATATGAAAATACACGTCCTTGCGAAATAAATATTTGATGATTTCATTAAGAAAGAAAAAAGAAAAAGAGAGAGAAAAAATTATAAAATAAAAAATAAAATTTATTATATTATTTTTCTTGATTTCGATAGATACGAAATCAACCTTTTACATTCTTTTCTATTCCTTCTTTTTTTTTTTTTTTTTTTTTTTTATATATATATATATAGAATACTGTAGGTATATTTTTTTCCGCGCGAATTATTACGTTTTTTTTTTTCTTTCTTTTCATCTTTCGAAAACAGAATTCTAACGTGTGAAAAGGAAAAAAAAATTATATATCTTTATGTACATAGAAATATCCGTATGTTTATATCGTACGAGTATGTTTATTGTGAAAGAAACGTGTTAAGCGAACAGTTCGCTCCTTAGACATTCTTTCCTTTCCATCGTAGAAATCGTACTACGTCTCGTTCGTACCGAAGCAAAAAACGTTCTCTCATAATTTAATCGACGGCCTGTCGACACTGGCCGCTGACTCTGGCCGGTGAGCAACGTGCCAGGTAGGGAACTCTCCGGCTTTCCTTCCGGGACTTCACGTGGTGAGGTACGCGTTCCTTATTCCATAAAAGGTTCATGAGCACCTTGTGAAAGGCGATGCCCTATAATCCCTTACCATGCGTTATACCTAGTACTTAAATAATTCCTCTCTTTCTTGTATGTATACGTTTCATATTTTCGATTTTCAATTCCGATCGTATATATATATATATATAACAATGATACATCAATCGTTACATCGATATTAGAATTAGATTCTTTTATTTTCATAAATTCGTTTAACATTCACCAAAGAATATTTTACATTTTGTATCGAATATTTATTATATTCACAAATTTAATCTCAGATGAAATCGTTAGATATTAATTAATGGACATAAAAGAATTTGTAAAATTTAATTGATTCTATGTTATCTAATCCTTCTTTTTTCTCTTTTGTTTTTTTTTTTTCTTTTCTTTCGTTACGTGTTTGAAATAAAAATGCAACCGTACATTCTTCTATACTTTGTTTTTAATAAGCATCGAATAAAAGAATTGAATGTTAATATTTGCTTATTAAGAAAAAAAAAAAAGAAAAAAAAAAAAAAGAAAAGGAAAAATGTATTAAATTCTTGAACGATAGACATACGTAATGTTATATATCCAGTCATACATTTTTCAATATAAAATGAAATTTTTCGTATGATTCTTAATCGTATAAATCGTATCACTTGTATATAATAAGAATAATAAAGACATAAATATAACGTGAAAAGTATTACTCTAAGGAAGTCTAATTTGAAATAATCTCAGGAAGGCCGAAAATAATGTTATCGAAATAATATCTCATACGTTTTTAACAGGTACCCTATCTGTAAGTTATATAAGATACGTATATGTAACGAACATATAGATAATTGATTTATTTGATAAATATATTTAATCACATAACATACTTTCTATTCCAAATGGAACGTTTAGAAAATTTTAAATATGGTGAAAAAGATTTCATCAAAAGTCGAAGTGAAAGATCAAAAGGGGCGTGGGGAGGGAGAAAGGGGGAGGGGCGAGGGGCGAGGAGAGTGGTAAAGAAAAGAAAAAAAGCACAGAAAGAAGAAAAAAATGAATAAATTTAATTGCAATGTCGCTTTGTAACATTGTAAATTTTCTTTATCGCTCGTGTCGATCGAATCTCGACGATGACGTAAACAAGCAACATATTTTCATTCATCGATAAATGCTGAATGAAGGATTTTTATTTACAAAAGGAACATCGATCCAAACGAACGGCACCTTGCTCGCACACATATTTCTTTTTTATTGTGCGCAAAGCGTACGATATAATTTTTTTTCTTCTTTGTTCTTTTTTTTCTTTTTTTTTTTTTTTCTTTTTCATATCCTCGATTACGAAAGGACCAAAGTAAATCTTTTCTCGCGATTTGAATTCGATCGTTGCTGTGCCATTTAACACGTAAACTATTCCAGTAGAACGATATTACAAAGCCGTTAAACGTGCCACGAAATATATTATATACCTATCCTCTCGTGTCATTGAAAGCATTCGACGAATTTAAATGACGCGTGTATTATAACGGACTTCGAACGTTGACGACGCATCGTTGTCCGACTTTCTTCACTAACGTTCCTGAACTAACTGGACCTTGCTTTATTTCAGGTACCATCAAGACGACGTTACTTTCCGGAAGTAATTTTAACGTAACGTGGCACCTCTCTTATCCTCACAAGGTATGTTAAAAATTCGATTATTATTATTATTATTATTATTATTATTATTATTATTATTATTATTATTATTATTATTATTATTATTATTATTATTATTATTATTATTATTATTATTATTATTATTATTATTATTATTATTATTATTATTATTATTATTATTATTATTATTATTATTATTATTATTATTATTATTATTATTATTATTATTATTTGAAATGAATTAGAAAAGCAAATGACTTTATCATTTTTAACAACGTTCAAGTGATTTCTATTGAAACATATTTTTAAAACAATAAATGACATGAAAGTCAATTGTACGAATCTATAGATTCATCATCTAATGGTGCTTACAACTTTCGATAGATAAAAGTAAGATAAAAGAGAGTTAGATTTTATCGTATCTTCTTACATTAGATTTAATACTTAATAAAAAGTATGTATATCTTTGGATCATTCAAAAGTCATCGCGAAAGTAATCTTCAAATTGTTTTGAATAAATTTTGTAAAATTGCATTTTGAAATAAGTCACAAAATACGAAATTATTATAAAGAATGACGATAGATTCGATTATAGCAATAAAATATAGAGAATGTTAGAAATCATTTTTGTAATAAGATAAGAAATTATTTCTAAATAGGATATTGCAGATGACTAATAAAAATGTTTTAACAAATTCTCGGCAATAGTCATGCCAGAAACACGAATTCCTTAGAACTTAGCTCATAGAAAGAAAGAAAGAAAAAAAAAAACGTGAGCCTTGTACGTTGTTGAAAAAAAGAAAAAAAAAACAAACAAACAAACAAAGATTATCCGGTTTCAGAGATTACTTTTGTGAGTCACTGTAGATCCATCCTTCGTAGTATAATAATTTAAAATATCTATAAATCACGATGTAGAAAAAATCGTTCATTATATATATATATATATTTATTTATTTAAAAATCTGTGTGTGTGTGTGTGCGTGTGTACATATATGTTATAACTTTTTATCTTATCTCTTATAAAAGGCAACGAAGCACGGAAAACTCGTGAAAAATCATGTTAATCCGTTACGCGAGGAATCGGATAAAATCATATCCGCATAGTATTATTTCACTTCGATACTTTCCCTCGGTATAGTTCGTGCTAGGCCGGTTTGCAGGTGCGTCATTAAAACGAATGAACGAACGAACGAACGAACGAACGAAAGAACGAACGAAAGCGTTTGGATCGTGTCCGACATTGACCGCGGATTCAATCGATTCGATTTTAACGATTTTACAATTGTCTTTAAGTATAATACTACGTTATCAAATATATTTGATTTAAATATACACGATAGATAGCACATATAACTACATTTATTTATAATATAATATGATATAATTTTATTTTGAAGAAATTTTTAATAAAACACAAAATGACGGACTTCGTAATACTTGGTTTTTTTTTTACGTAACAATGATTGTTACAAACAATGTTAACCGAAATCAATTTATCTTTTTGATTTTATCATATCAAAATTAAGTCTATTAAAAGTATATAATGATTTTCTTTTTTCTTTTTTTTTTTTTTTTTATTTTTTTGTTTTTACTTTTAAATTACTTTTTTTAAATCGACAAATGTAATAAGCGTTATTTCGATAATTCTAACGTTTTGTTTAAAGAAATATTATTCCTACAAATATACTATGATTATTAACTGATTGCATACTCAATGAACAATTTTCAAATTTCCATTAATCAAAAGATCTTCTTATATAATTACTTAAAAACCTTCATTAAATAAGATTACTTTGATATTCAGACAGGTGAAAAATAATCGTATACTTACTGGTTATACTGATTTCTTTGTTTCATAGAATAATAATACGAAATATTATTCAGAAACATTGAAACATATTTTATTATCAGATAGAAGTATGAAATTATTTGATATCATTTGAATTTTTCGATCGATGAAATTATATGATTTATCCAATATGAATTTGGTATTTATATCATCTTCGAGAATTTCCAATTTTATTATTATTATTATTATTTTAAAATAATGAATTAGAAAAAGAGAGATCGTTAAGTATTAAAGGCAATTGAACGGGATATACTATGTAATCTCTCTCTCTCTCTCTCTCTCTCTCTCTCTCTCTCTCTCTCTCTCTCTCTCTCTCTCTCTCTCTTTTTCTCTGTTTAATGTTCTATGCAAACGTTAATGGTATTTGCCATCGACAATAGATACTCTCTTTCTCTTTACGAGCGCATTTAACATGCGCAACACAATCGTTTCGGACCGACTCTGACAATGAGCCAGCAAATCGTCGTGAAAGCGCGCATTTCGAATTTTCTCGCGACCGTAACCCGTAACGCAAGCGAGGAGAGATAGATTAGAACGGTTTTTTTTTTCGTTTCATTTTTTTTTCTTTTTTCTTTTTTTCTTCTTTCTTTTCTTTTCTCCTATCCCAAATCATTTCAATGTTTTTCGTATCTCCGAACTTATAATAGAAAAGTATGGGGGAAACAAAATAAAAAAAAAAAGTATACAACTATCGAAGAGGATGATGAGTCTCGTTTTCGAGACAACAAAAGTGAGAATATTCGAATAAGTCTATTCCATTTTGTATTGTTTTTTTTTCTTACTCTTCTTTCTTTCTTTCTCTTTCTTTCTTTTTTTCTTTCTTTCTTTCTTTCTTTCTTTCTATCTTTCTTTCTATCTTTCTTTCTATCTTTCTTTCTATCTTTTTCATTACGGAAACGATGCTATCGGTTGATGCGTTCCGCATGAACTTTTTTCCCAGCTCGTTGGGACGGAGCGCGGGAAAGGCACGAATCCTACATCTTTTCAAACTAGTTGCTATCCCACGTAATGCTTTGAGGAAAAAGAACGAAAAAAAAAAAAAAATAATAATAATAATAATAAAAGTACGATGATCTATATGTTCACGAAAATAAAAACGAAAACAAAAATAAAAAACGAATTAGAAAAAAAAAATCGATCTAACATTCTTCCTTCAGTTTCGTTTCTTTCGAGCTTCTTATATATAAATATATATATATATATATATATATATATATATATATATATTTTTTTTTTTTTTTTCAATATCCTTTTAACTTTCAATCTTGTTCTACGTATACGCACATATGTAAAAGATTTTTGAATTGTTCCTTTGTCTGTTTTATTTTTTTTTTTTTTACATATGGCATCATCGCATAATATAAATAACATCTTGCTATTTAATCGCGTAATCTTATCCCCTTCTCTTTTCCAGTTTTCTCTCTTTTTAATTAATTAATGCACAACGTAACACTGTGTCGAATCAACAAAAGATTCGTTTATAACATCAACGTAATCTAGATAATATCGCACGATAAATGATTTATAAAAGATGAATTATAAAAACTATTTTAATTATATTAAAACCTTATGATTATATTACACGATGATAAATTCTTTATGTAAAATGAACAAGAAAAAATGGAAATAAATCTAAGAAATTTTTCTCCGTGGAAGAAGAAAAAAGAAAAAAGAAAAATGCAAAGAAAAGAAAGAAAAACAAAAAGAAAACAACGAAAGAATTAACCTTCGAATTATCCTATCGCTTTTATTCCTTTCCCACCATATATAGAAGGTATCGACGTTAATGATAATGACATAATAATAATAATGACAAAAGAAAAACATTAACCGAATTGGGTGGCGCGGAAACATACGTTGGCCCCTTCATATTATGCATGACGAGTAGCTCGAAGGAGCGTAGGCGTCCAATGCGTTATCAAATTGTCTATGAGCGTTCACTATAAAGAGAAAAATAAAGAGAAAGAGAGACAAAGAGAAACAGACGGACAGAGAGAAAAAGAGAGAGAGAGAGAGAGAGAAACATAGAAAAGAACTATAGAGTAGTCGGCCTATGACGCCGAGTGCTCGTCGCTCAAGGTAACGCGTGCTGAATAATTCAGAAGCAAATTTTTGCTGGTATGTGACGTCCGTACTCTCCATCTACACATAGAAGCTCATATAGTATGTAGGTAGGTAGGTAGGTTGGTTGGTTGGTTGGTTGGTTCGTTGGTTGGTTGGTTGGTTGGTTAGATGACTGAAAAGGAGGTAGAGTAAAGACTGTTTTACGTTGCTTAAATATATGTGTACGTATATATGTGTATGTATTTATATTTATACATATATATATATTTAAGTGTATGTGTGCGTTTGTGTGTGTGTGTATACTCATATGTACGCGGCATCCATTTCGTTGGTAGAGACAGGTATGTCAAATACCGTAAGTCGAATATCGTCGTTTAACTCGTATGACCAAACGAATATATACCAAAGGTGACAACGTCTTTATGCTTACTCAAAGGCTTCATATTCATTCTTACCGGTTCTCTGGATGATCTTACGGAATGTTGACCCGATGAATATTCGTCTGGCAATTGGTATGATAAAATTATTTGAATAATTTTGATATTATCATAAATTTATCATCAAGAAGAAATAGAAATAGAATTTGAATTATTTCGATACTGATGATTATTGAGAATTATTAATTATCGTTAGGTATTTTTTAAAGATCATTGGAATAGGTTTATTTAAATTATCGTTAGTTAAAGGAAGCTATTTGTATGATCGTTTATTTTTTAATATATTAAAAATAATGTTATTAATTTATAGATAATGATTATACTAATTGGCAATTATCTATAGCTAATAATTCGTTACTTTAATTATTTAATTGTTCGAGATTATTCTTTATATATATATATATATATATATATATATATATATATATATATATATGAATATTTATATTATGAAATTTCAAAAGAATGTTTCAAACATTTTATTACATATTTACTTTTTGAAATAATCTTAAGGAAAGAAAATGACAGCGTAAAAATTGTTAACTACATACGTCCGCAAGCGAATTATTTCCGGCGGAAGGATATAGATAATCTCCTTTAGAATTTACAAAAGTAAGGTTTTAAAATTCATCTCGGCAATTTATCAGTAATATATCACGGTTTGTTAAACTGTGATATGTATGAAATCAATTTTATCAAATTGAAAAGTTATCTTATTTAACAATCAGATATCGAAATGAAATAAACGAATTTAATAGATAGTAAATTGTTTACAATTTTTTTTTCCTCCTTTTTATTTTATCGATTTAACTTATACAATTGACACTGATAAATCTTGATTGAATTTATTTGAAGAAAAAAAATTTTTATTTTTTACGATACATACATATGTACCTATTGTATATACATAAATGAACGAGTAGTACTTGTATTGTATCCATCTTGAAAATAACTTTTACATAAGAACAAAGAGAACCGGACGATGACCGCACAATAATTCAATGACTCGATGTGTGCATCAAAAGGTGCAGTACGTGTGGGATCAAATTATATAACAGATCGTTGAAAGACTTTACCTTGAACAATAAATCCGTTTAAGATAATATAGGGATTGTATAGATATGGATAGAAAAAAAATTTTCCAGTATTAACGCACACTTTTGTAAACATGATTTTCGTACAATTTGTTTATTGTACAAAATGCTATTATCAGAAAATTATTTTGATAGAACTGAACAACAAACGAAAATATTTTTCTTTTATATATTATACGATGAAAATTAATAGATATATCTATACTTTGAAATAATTAATATGTTTTCTTTTTGTTTTTTCTCAATATCATTTGATTTTTATTATTATTTGAAATTTTAATGTGTTGTAGAAAGAATGAGGTAGAATTTCTTTTTATTTACTTTATACGCGATTCATTTAAATGGATTTGATTACAAATTTATATTTTGTCATTTTTGAGACGACTAACTCCTCCTATTCGTTAATTCGCCATTGCAGCAGACGATTAGTGTCATAATCATTTCTACTTTTTTTTCTTTTTTTTTTTTTTATTCCAGGGTGGATTTCGACTTCAAATTCTCGATGGCCTTGACAGACCTTTGATCGATTTAACACCGGTTACACAACACAGCGAATTCGTCGAAGACGATGCTACGTGAGTTTGATCAAAAACATCGTGATAATTAATCTTTGATAAATCTTGTAATAAATATTTTTACATTGCAATTTTTCAGAGCACAAAGTTACCATGTACAATTGCCACAAAATTTTACCTGTACCGACTGCACGATCAGACTCCTTCGAAAAGCTGAAGAATGGGGCTCCAGTTATAGATTTTGGTCCTGTGCAGATATTGACGTGAGTTCAATAAAAATAATATTAAAGTACTTTTACTGGAGTAAATGATCAATATAAAAGAAAAAAAAAATACGAACAAACAAAAAAGATTGTTAATAAAAAAGAACATAGTTCATTGTTTTTCAAAAATTAATTAATTCATTAATTATATTTATATTAGCAAATGCAAATCATGACAATATCTAATTATATTATATATACAGATGTTCAAAATTTATTGATAACTCTCCAACCTCCCACCGAACCCCTCCAACCTTATGAAATTTTCATAATTTCTGTTAAATAAATCCGTTCACGTGTCATTGAATGTGAATTCAATGACACGATTTAAATATCATTCTTGTTTATCGATTTATGACGAATGTTAATTAACAGTGAAGGTTCAAGGGGGAGGGAAACAAATTATAAATAAAAAATTTATATCTAATGAATTTTTGGTTGCATTTTTACGATAGATACTCGATAGAAAGATCTACAGGGAAGACTGCAACGGACACGGGAGGTACCTCCTCGGCAGATGTAGATGCGATCGTTTTTATCATGGCGCAAGGTGCGAATTTAAGGAGGAGTGCCTCGACGACACCGATTGTGGTACCCAGGGCACGTGCATCGACAATGGCGGTACGACCGCACCCACCAAGCTCTGCTACTGCAACATCGGTTGGTTCGGATCGGGTTGTGCAAAAAGTGAGTTTCGACAGACAAATCATCCGTACGAGAAAATAAATTCATTTCTAGCGACGACAACAATAACAATAAAAACGAAATATATCGTCAATGAATAAATCCATTGACGAAATAAAATCGATCTCTTTCATTTTTAATAAATTATCAACGCGATAAGCGGATGAAATTTTTCGGACTATAAATTATAATGTTCTCTATATATATAAATAACTATGTCATCGTTAATGTGGAAATCTATCAAAATTGTATCCGAATAGTTAAAACGTGAATGCTAAATGAACGAATTCATTCTCTCTCTCTCTCTCTCTCTCTCTCTCTCTCTCTCTCTCTCTCTCTCTCTCTCTCTCTCTCTCTCGTAATAGTGCGTACACCAATTTATATAACATTATTTACATAACAATATATATTAACGTTTTTACACTTTCCAACGTAATAACATATGTAACGTGACTCTCTTTGTCATTTAAGTTTTTATGCTTTTTATTCGAGAGTCATTACTAGAGACATTACATAATTCATCAATCGTCATTATCACCCCGGGATGTTTCTTTGTTGATTATTAATCATAACGACTAACTAAGTGAGATGGCAATAACGGACGTATTTATCTTCCCTTCCTCTTTCGTCAATACTTAATTAAATGGTAATTAAGAAACTGGAAAATGAAAAAAAAGAAAAAGAAAAAACAAGAGAGAGAGAGAGAGAGAGAAAGAGAGAGAGAGAAAGAGAAAAGAAAAAATCAGGAGGAAATTGAAGAGAAAGAAAAATAATACGAAATTGATAAATTACAATTTGTTTTGCAGGATCACCTATAAAAACGATCGACTTGGATTTAGAATCTTACACGATGAAGCGATTCTCAGATGACGTAACCTTTTACTGGAGGATTTTATGGACGAGCATGGAATTGGAAGGTGTTCTCGTAGCAAATAGTACTACTTGGATTGGTATTGGTTGGAGACCGAGCAATTTATCTCCAGCATGTCGAGCCTTTCCTGAAATAAATGATCCACCAAAAGATGAGCCACTGCCAAAGCCCGAACCTAAATCCGAACCAGAACCAAAATCTGAATCGGAGAGAAGGATTACGGAAAGTAAAAGCAAATCGACGAGTGAACCACTTACGAGTGAACTTTTAGATGAATCTAAAGCCGAACCAGAACCAGAACCAATACCAATACCAGAGCCTGAACACGATAGCGAAAGATCCGGTGCTAAAAGGAGATCAGCTAAAGTCGATGGTACAACATTCGTGACTTATCGACCAGATGATGTTACCGTACAAACTAGCGTGACTTATCGAGTTAGCACAAAACAAGGTTGACATCATACTATTTGATATAATTTTTATTCTAGTAGTAATAAGTATTACGTAATTAAATGCCATACGTATATGATTAACGTCTACATTTTGTCGTAACAGGTCGTAAACGCAGATCATCTGAAACAGAAACATTACCGTCGAACGGTATGTAAACATAGTTTTTAAATTATTAGATTATGAAAAAGAGTATTTAATATCCATTGCTAGCTTGTAGCATATTCATAGGGCAAATTAGTGGTTCGCTTAAAAATTTTACAGCAGTATTATTATATAAAACTATATATGTATATTTAAATAGAATTCCCTCCGCTCGCTCAAGACACGACGCACGAGGTGATGGTCTATTTTAGTTAAAGTAGTTAGTTGCACGTTGTTCCATGCTTTGTTGCACAGGTGAGCGCGCAACCGAGTCGGCCACCATCATCGGCACAGAGCCAGAACCCAACTCCGAACCGGAACCTCAACCTGTGCCAGAATCCAAATCTCAACGAGAACCTAAATCCAAGTTAGATTCATCGTCGGTGCCAGAACCTAAATCTGAACCAGAGCCTATATCAAATCCTGAATCCATATCTGAGCCTGTGCCTGAACCTAAATCCGAGCCAGAACCAAAGTCAGAACCTGAACCGAAATCCAAACCCGAGCCCAAAACCGAACCAGAACCAAAGTCAGAACCTGAACCGAAATCTGAACCTGAGCCCAAATCAGAGCCAGAACCAAACTCAGAACCTGAACCAAAATCTGAACCTGAACCCGAACCGAAATCCGAACCGGAACCAAAGTCAGAACCTGAACCTAAATCGGAACCAGAGCCAAAATCCGAGCCAGAACCTAAATCCGAGCCTGAACCAGAGCCAAAATCTGAACCGGAACCTACTTCCGAGCCGGAGCCAAAGTCTGAACCTACCTCAGAACCGAATATGGGAGCAACGAAAGGTAATGAGGCATTTTAATGCTTGTTTCCGCATGTAACGTACACGCTGATAAATCACGCGCGTAATAATAAATAAAATTTACTTTGATTGCAACGAGGCTCGCAAATAAATATTTCTCTCATAAGAACCTTGATAAATGAACGCCACAAGTATAACTTGGTATAAATTGCATAACTAACGTTGCATAAACGCTAAAATATGCAGAAATTTATAATCGAGGATATATTCGAATGTAAATATTGGTATGTGGATGCGTTCGATTGATGCAATCTACGAGAAAAAAAGCAAGTTATATGAAAAAAAAAAATTTATAAATATAAAAATTCAACTCGTAGTACTCACCTGTATCAACAAGGAGAATGTAATGAATTGTTTGAAAGGAATTATTGTACAAGTAGTATAGTATTACACATATGCAAACATATATGTATATATATATATATATATATATATATATATATATATATATATAATCACTATTAACGTCATTAAAAAAAAAAATTTTCCGAACTTGGCAAATCTTAATTTGATTTTTTTTTTTGTTTTTTTTCTACGTGCAGCATCGATACCATCTATGGGACATAAATACACTCCGAAACACGACTTTAATCCTATGGATTGCACGGATATAATAATCGGTACGGCAAGAGGTATGACACATAGAATTGGAGATTATTACACCAGGGATAGATCGACGCCCCGTCAAGACAATTATTGGGGTGGAAAGGATAGTTTAACAGCGGCCATGGGTTTCGAACGAGATGGTGTCACTACGATACTTTTCAGAAGAAAACTAGAAACAAACGAGCCAACGGATCATGCTATTCGGGAAGGTAGTATGCATGTGATATGGGCCAAGGGTCAAGAGCCAGGTCAATACATTCATTATCCGCCGAGTGGTATTGAAAAATCCAAAGTCTCCGTTAAAGAATTTTATAAGGTCGATGAATTGAAATATCACGGACATAATACCCAAAGAGGTGTTACGACCATCGACTTCTTCGGTAAATAAAAAATAAAATACTTTGAAAAGGGAAATAAATAAATAAATAAATAAATAAAATTCAAATTCAAATTATAAAACGAAATAATCAACGATTAATAATATTTTCATAGAAAATAATGGCGAAGAAGAAGAAGTTAACGTGCCTGTACCAGGTGGTGGTTGCGGTGGTTCATGGCAATATCCAAAACATTGTTCGGTTGAAAATCGTACATGCGAATACGCCATAGAATGGAATTACAAAGCAAAATTGGTAAATTTTGATCTTTGAACAATTAATACCTTTTATCATTGTTAACTATTGTTCATAAAATAAGTTAAATATGATTAATTTTTTAGGATCAAATATCCTTTGTTATTTCAACAACGAATACTAGCAGTTGGACTGGAGTTGGATTTTCCAACGACGATAAAATGGTGATTTCATCAATTAACTTCTTTATTCAAGCTTCTATTTTTGTTTCTTATTTTTTTTTCTAATATCTAATACATCATATATCGTTTTTAGACACAAACGGATGCGGTCTTAGGATGGGTTGATACAACCAATGGTCGAGAATTCGTCATGGATACTTGGATGAGCGGTTACAATCCTCCCCTGTTAGATCCTTCCCAGGATATTTATAATACACACGGACGTATCGAGGATGGAATTATGACAATACGATTTTCAAGAAAACGAATTACAAAGGATACCACCAGGGATTTCTCATTCACCGACGATCATTGCCTGTACATGATGTATCCTGTAAAAGGTGGCAAGTTCAATGCAGTTAACAAAAAGATTCAAAAGCATAATGCTCCACCGATGGTCTCTCGTAAAAAAATCTGCATAAGATCTTGCGGCGCAGAAGGTATTAATCAATGATTAAAATGATCAAAATTGCAATTATCGTTCGTCTCTTAATTTATTCATTTCTAATTTATTTAGAGATAGAAGTGATAACGACACCAGCCCCACCAAGATTGTACTACGACATTGAAGTTAAATTAATCCATCTTGGCGATAGTTTTGTACCACCGTCACAGGATAGTCCCGATTTTGAAATAATCTCGAACACTATAACGGAGAGTTTTGGCCCGGTTTTCGAAAACCTTCCTGGTTATTATCGGATAAATCTCGAGGAATTGAAACGGTAGATAGATATTTGTTACATCGTAAATCTATAGATTGAACAATTGCGTATAAAATATTTGTACTCTCTCTTTTTTTTTTGTTTCTTTTTTTTTATGTTTAACACATTATTATTCCCAGAGATGAAGAACAAAATGGAGCAGTGGCGCGCATGAAATTGACACTGGACAAAAACGAAATAAAAGGTAGAGCTTTAAATCCATTGGATGCAACAGCAGCTACAGAAAAGACATTAAAGAAAGCTCTCATTAGCGGAAAGGTCGGTGCCCTCTCCGTTGATCCTCAGTATCTAGTCATCAGAGCACCTCGTAGTAAGTATTATGATATTCAAATAACATTTAGAAATTAGAAACGTGTAACGTGATCGATAGAAGATTGATTAATTTCATTATTATGATATCCGATAAGTTTATTATTCGCATATCATCCATTTATATCTTTTGACATTGCATAATTAACAATGATGTTCGTGTCAATTGTGATTACTTTTCGTATTTTCAAAAGAGTTAAAAAAAAAAAAAAAAGAAAATGATCACGTTGTCATGATTCGTATTTAATAGAAATCTATATTAATGCAATTTATAATCATATATGATTTTTCATTGATAGTAACCGAAGAAAATGAAGTAATCGAAGAAGACGATCGACCATTAAAACCGACCTTCCTGTTAAGCGAAACAAAGTTATACATCGTCGTTGGATGCGTTGCTGCATTGGTAGCACTTGCAGTCTTACAAGCTATTTGTACACTTTACAAATCGTCAGTGAAGCGTTCTACTAAGGTACATACGTCCTACGTAAAGGAAGAGAAAAGGAAAAAAAAAGAAAAGCAAAAGAAAAAAGAAATTTAAGAAAATCAAAACGATCCGTCATCATCTTGTCCCTTTCTTCTTCTTCTTCTTCTTCTTCTTTTTCTTCTTCTTCTTCATCATCTTCTTTTTCTTCTTTTTTCTTTTTTCCTTTTCTTTGCCTAGATGATTTTCTCTATCGCCAATCTTACATTTACTGAAGTGTTAGCTCTACCAGCTTGACGTGTATTATCCCAACTTTCAATTTTAACAATCATCTTCTCTCGTAACCATGAATTAATTTACAATCGATCGTATTAAATCGACTAGATCCCTAGATCCAATTTAGCCATTCGTTAACACGTTTTTACACGAAAATCTTTGATCATATTTTTTTTTTGTTTTGTCTTATTTTCAATTTTCACTTTCATAACAAAAATCCCTGTTCCGTGCTTTTATGTTTATCTCGAAGTACGTCTCTTGCTTTTGCTTCTGTTGTTGCATGATTGCGCTCTCCTCGCGATCGTCACAAATAAAGAGGGTCTACTCGCTGCCTCTGGCTTACTCCGACGCGGCCAACCCAATTCATCGAACTAACGCGACGCGGTCCCATCGACAAAACGGCGATCAGCATCATCACTACAACTACCATCATCATCATCATCATCATCATCACCAACTCCGGCATCATCAGCATGCTACGAATGAAAAACATCGGCCTAATCCAAGCTGGTAGAGCTCGCACTTCAGATACAATCGACGCGCGAAATATTCATCGTTTCCTCGTTTTCTCACTAATCAAGGTATCGCTACAATCTCTCTCTGTCTCTTTCTTTCTCACTCTCTCTCTCTCCCTCTCTCTCTCTCTCTCTGTTTGTCTGTCTGTCTATCTATCTTCTTCTTTCTTTATCTTTGCCATTCCTTCTCATTTATCCTGGCAATAACTCGCTTTTCTAACTCCTCTCAATCGTAGATCTTTATCTTTAGGCATTTATCACATGAGTCCACATAACTGTAAGAAAATGAATATATACACAGATAATAGATTGGATTTGTAAATTGAATAGACTTATAGGTAAAATTATAAATTGAATAATTCACAAAGAGAATAATTAAATATTATAATTCTTATTAATAGGATCGTCTTATAAGCAATAATGCATGGAAAGATTATTCCTCCGGAGCGAACACAAATTTTGGATTTGAATCATTCGAGACCGAAGAGAAGACACATCCACCGCCAGTATCCAGTCTTCCAAGACCCAGAGATATTACTGGGAATGGTACCAGCCTTGGTCACGACACTGTAGAAGGTCCCAATAGAATGATCAGTCCAAGAGCGACTTACAGTTTACCTCGTGCACCAGGTTCTAGAAATAATGCACCGACACCGATGCAACCAGGATATTATACACAAGATCGTAGGAGTCAGTATCAACGAACGAAGGGTCTTCAAGGTACGACGAACAACGTGGCTGCACAAGCAAATCAACCGGACTTTTACTTCATGCCGAGTCAACGTAAATACAGCGGCGAGGTTGTGCGCGTTTACGTTGATTACGAGAGTCAAATGCCAAAATGAGAAAAGGCAAAACTCTAAAAGTGAAGGAAAGGAAAAGCCGTATAAAATAAAAAAAAAAAAAAGAGAGAAAAAAAAGAATTAAGAAAGAAAGAAAGAAAAAGTGCGTTTGATATTGTGACTTTTCATAAAAATGACTAATCTTTTTCTCGCTTCAGTGAAGCTGTCTGTAAATAAGTGGAAAAAAAAAGTAGAAAAGAAAAAAAAATTAATAATTATAATAATAATAATAATAATAATAATAATGATAATAATAATGATGATAATAATAATAATAATAATTATTATAATTATAATAATAATAATGATAATGATAATAAATTCTCAGAGAGCTTGTAGGAGCTTTCCTGCTTTATACACGAAGGAACTTTTACTTTCAGAAGCTTTCGCTCGATCGCTCTCTTGAGAATATCGTGTACGTAACGAATGTATGTATGTATGTATGTATGTATGTATGTATGTATGTATGTATGTATGTATGTATGTATGTTGTATGTATGTATGTATGTTGTATGTATGTATGTATGTATGTATGTATGTATGTATGTATGTATGTATGTATGTATGTATGTATGTATGTATGTATGTATGTATGTATGTATGTTGTATGTATGTATGTATATATGTATGTATGTATGTATGTATGTATGTATGTATGTATGTATGTATGTATGTATGTATGTATGTATGTATGTATGTATGTTGTATGTATGTACGTATGTGTGTGTGTGTGTGTGTGTGTGTGTGTGTGTGTGTGTGTGTGTGTGTGTGTGTGTGTGTGTGTACTGCATATAAGGAATGTGTTTCTATATGGAGACGAAAAAATGGGAAAAGAAAAGGAAAGAAAAAAAAAAAAAAAGAAATATATGAAGAAAAGTGGAAGCGATACAAACTCACAGGAGCCGCCGCTTTCGACCAAAGAGTTAATCGATAGTGTGTGCACGTGCGCGAGCACGTACGCATGCCAAATCGTGCGCGATTTTGTACAAAAGTGCGAGAAAATGGAGAGAAAAAAAAAAAAAAGAAAAAAACGATCGACCAGTCTCAATGGAGAGACATTAACAAACGCACACCGTTATAAAATATATATCTCGACTTCAGATCGAAAAAAAAAAAATAAAAATAAATAAAAACGATACGCGTGTTGCGTTATATACTATATTAATGTACATATTAAAATTTTATATATATATATATATATATATATATATATACTTACACATATATATTATGTATGCGTAAATGATACGAATAGCAAGAAACACTGCACGCTGACGTATGCGCAAATAAAACGTTTGTACATTTTTTTTTTCTTTTTCTTTTTCTTTTTCTAAATCGATTTACGATACTTATCATTTCTCTTGTACAAAAACAGAATGTGCACGAAGATTAGAGAATTTTTAATCACGCAATACTAGAATATAATAAAATATGATGAATCACGTGAGATTTATATCATCGTTCATATATATTCTTGGATTATTGATCGATCGACGTGCTAACTAACTAACTAACTAACTAACTAACTAAATAAATAAATAAATAAATAATTAATCATAACCATAAGAGGAATTGGTTGGAATATGTCGGATCGTAAATAAATAGAAATGTTGGATAAAATTAACGATAATACTTGTAATAATCATAATAACGATAGTAGCAGCAGTAGTAACGATGGCAATAGTATTACAGTATTAATTACAGTGTAATGTCGTTAACAACGGCGTCGATGGCGCGGCAAGACTTCCGATATCATTTGGTAATTGGTGATTTATAATTGTAATAAGGCGACGCCAAAGGTAAGTTGTTCTCCGTACCTCCGAAATGGTTGTGATGAGTGAAATCGGAAGTCAAATATTAACGCCAACATTGCCCCGTCGATCCTATATCATAATGTTATAATGTAACTAGTAGTATCGAGCACATTTCCGGGCCTACCATAAGATTGTTTTTTCTTCTTTTTCTTTTTTTGTTCTTTTTTTTCCTTTGTTTTTATTTATTTACTTTTTTATTTGTTTGTTTGTTTGTTTGTTTGTTCTTTCTTCCATTTTTTCTTTCTCTCTTTCTGGACTTTCGTCGATCATGTGCACGAAGATTACACACAGGAGAGAAGCCACAAAGGTCCGTCACTTTTGACTTGACGTTCCTTCACTCTCTACTCCATCTACCTCTCTCCCAATCACTCTGATTTTCTTGTTTCAGAAGAACGATACTAAAATATGTGATGAACGTATGCGCGACCGACCATCATACTAATGCATTAAGATTAATTGCAACAAATAAGATTTGTTTTTCTTTCTCGTAATCACTAATCACGGGCGCGCAAGCGCACGAGCAATCGCATTCTCCGAAGCGGACAAATCGTATCGGCAATTATAATAACCGACTTCTTTCATTCTTGTCCGTTTGACACAGATTAATCATACGTAATGCCATATCCAGATCGCCATTTTGAATGCATCTTGCGTACGCTGCTTCATCATCGCCATCATCATCATCATCATCATCATCATCATCATCATCATCATCATAATCATGTTATCATCATTATCATCATGACTCTCGCGCCCTTTACTTTCTCTCCTCTGAACGTTAATTACACGGATATTTTTTTCTTATCCAAACGTACACATCGAGCAGCATCACATACACACACACACACACTCGCATACATACACATACGCGCGCACGCGCGCGCGCGCAGGCAGTACACGTGCGCGCATATATATATATATATATATATATATATATATATATGCAACGACACACACGCGCGCGCGCGCGCGCGAACGTAGACGAACGCGCACGTTTATGACGCACACACATACGGAGGACACATCAGCACATCATTTTTCTATCGATCAAAGCAATGTAGTCAAGAGTACGAACAGACGAACGTCTGGGTAAATGGAGCGAACACCATATTAAGGCTTAATTTAACTCGTTCGTAAATGTTAATTTCCGCGCGTTTATCCACAATCTCCCATTTTTTATTTTATTTTATTTTATTTTATTTTATTTTATTTTATTTTCTCTCTCCTAATTTTTCCATCTTACTATATTTTTCTTTCATTTCCTTTTTTCTTTTTCTTTCTTTTACGCAATAACACACACTGTGGCATATAATGCTTTTATTCTCTCTCTCGCTTTCTCTCTCTCTCTTTCTCTCTCGCTCTTTTTCTCTCTCGCTCTTTTTTTCTCTCTCTCTCTCTCTCTCTTTCTCTTTCTTGCATACTTAATACGCATATACACATGCACACACATACATACACATATACATACTTTCTCTCTCTCTCTCTCTCCCTCTCTCTCTTTATCTATCTATCTCTCTCTTTCTATCTTTATCTATCAATCTTTATCTTTATTTTTCTTCCTCGATGAAGATCCATATTCGCTAAGTATTCCGGGCTGGTTTTAAGTTGTCACTCCATTAAATACCACGTTTCGTATTCCTTATCTCAATTTGTTTTTCTCTTGGTATATATGTATATGCATCGCGCTCGTTCTTCCGCCGCTTAAATTTTGACTCTTCACTTTCTCTGCCTGACATCGGAATCCTTGTTAGGCGTTGGTTTACTGCAAATACAAACATTATCGAATGAGAAAATATTCATAAAAATTTATGATAAAAACATATAGAAATATGATCGAAATTAGAAACAATATGGCGATGTTATCATTTAATAATGAAAATAATCAATAGTCAAGATTTTGTACACTTCAAATTTGAAATAAGATAACAAAAAGGAAGAAAAAAGAAAAAAAGAAAAAAGAAAAAAAAACGTTAAACTGATTCGCACATACTAAATTCAAGATGAAATAATTTACTATAGTTAATGTTCATCGTTAAATACGATCAATCTTAAAATCTTTGATTTTATAAAACAAATACATAAAGGATTACACTTTGATATAATTAGCACACCAGTAAAGTATTCTCTTCCTCTCCCTCTTCCCCCCCTCCACATGACTTTCTTGGTGAACCAAGATGGCGAGAGGAAGACAAGAATAAATAAGATATATTCATATAAATGATCGTTGATTTCGGTTGGTCGTTCCAATAAAATATTCGTCATATAGTTGATGAATAATTAGGGTTACTTGTTAATCACGATGGTGCTGATTTAAAGGGCGGATGTCGAGTTGGTTCTCTAGATGGGACGTTGAATCGAATATATTCGTACTTAGATGGTTCGGGTGGAGGTGTCACAGGTGGGTGAACTGGAAGATCCGAAGGTGGGAGAGGTCCGTGCAGAGGAATATAATATTCTAATGATTCGTCGTTCTTAGGCTCTGTCTCGTGACTATTTATATATGTGCGTGTGTGTGTGTGTGTGTGTGTATGTTTTAAGAAAAAAAAAGGAAGAAAAGAAAAAAGATAGACAATAAATTTATATTATAAATTGTAAAATGTTGTCTAAAAAAAAAAAGTAAAGAAAGAAAGAAAGAAAAAAAGAAAAAAGGAAAAAGAAAGAAGAAAATGATGATTCGAATTCGATGAAATTGGGACTCACGTGTCGGGACTCTGCTCGGTATCGGACTCGTCAAGTTCGGCCTTATTTCGTTTCTTTTCATAAACAAGAATAATGGCGCAAAGTACGACGACCTCACCGCAGATACCAAGGAAAGGCCAAAGTGCGGCGAGCTTGTCCTTGACCCTAAGTAAAGTGACAGCTTGCGCCGAATGACCTTCCACCGGGTCGGACCAATTATAAGACACCCTGCAGTGGATAATACCGCGATCGTTCATCTCGATGTTTTCTACCGTCAATACTGCACCGTAAATTCCTCTCTCTTGGTCTTGCGAAATCTTTACTCTACCCTTGCTGGCGGTATAATTTTGATTTCCAAATGTCCATATGATCTTGACACCTGGACTGTGTTTACCGTTACATACTAAAAGTAATTTTTCACCTTCGACGACGCTAGTCGATTCGGGTAAGACAACGGTAGGTTTAGCTGTAATAATTGAAAAAATTATTGCTATTAATCATTGAATAACTAATAAAAATAATCAAATGAATTTTGATCGTATATATAGATATATATATATATATATATATATATATAAAAAAGAAATTAATGATCACTCACGTACGATCCTGTAGTCAGTCGAGGTATTTCCTACTTTGCAAGAATAATTTCCATAAACGACAATATCGTCAATTTTTAATACATCCAAGGTACCAGTCTCGTTGTCTATCTTGATGAGGTCCTCTTTACCAACCATTGTCGTCAATATCGGCATTTTTTCCTTATACCATATTGCTTTATCTCCTGTGCTTCGATTACCGCACTCCAACGAAAGGGGTGTCTCCTTTTGTGTAAGTACTCGAATCTTCACGTCTATCGACACAACGGAGTTCATTAGTTTATAGATAATATAATTATATATAAAGCGCAAGTGCCACGTCTTCGTTTAACGAACGAATAAATTTATCGATGGATTCTCTAATTCTAATTCGAGCTAGCTTTATCGGCAGTTAAATCAATTGATTATTTACAAAAAAAGAAAAAAAAAAAAAAAGAAAAAGAAATAAAAAAAAAAAAGCACTTCCCATATTCATCGACAAAATCTTCTTACGATCATCGCGTCAACGCATACGTAGATACATACATACATAAATAAATAAATAAATACATACATACATACATACATACATACATACATACATACATACATACATACATACATACATACATACATACATACATACATACATACATATATACATAAATACGCTCGTGTCATCGGTATTTTTAATTATTAATAAACTAGACCGATAATAAAATAGACGTGTTCGATGCAAGAAAAATTATGCGAGCTAAAGGTTATAATATGTCTATTACACGACGGGTGATTTAGATTTTCTGTGCGAGCCGTAAAGTGCGAAGAAACAAGAGCCCTTCGGAAGTAGGCTATAGCCGTCGATAAATCGACGAAGCTCCGCTTTTAGAATCGATATGGTTTGCTTCCGTTAGAGTCACCATGAGAGAAAGAGAGAGAAAGAAAGAGAGAGAGAGAACACGATTTTACATTAAACTTTACAGCTCACACAAAACGTACACTATTTTTAGCGATCTTGAAGGAAAAGTAATAGAGAGAGAGAGAGAGAGAGAAGAGATGATAAAAAATATCGTTTTTTTTTTTTTCGTTATTACTACCTTTCATTCGAATCTTATCTTTTATATAAATCAGTAATTCTCTTATCATTTATCGGAGATAATGTCACTTCGATGTCGGTTATTTTCCGATAAAATGAATAAAAAGAAAAAAAATATATTGTTCAAACGTAAATACGTATATATACGTCTATATACGTGTATAAATGTAGATGTGTATAATAACGCATATGCGTGTATATATTCTAATTATTAAAATCTCTGAAATCATCTCTTCTGCCTCTTTCTCGAATGCTACAAAAAAAAAAAAAAAAAAAAAAAGAAAGAAAATAAAATCACCGTCTGTCGTGTAGTCGACAAATGCATAAAATATTTATCGTGATATCGTGCCATCTAGAATATGTGATTATTATCGATATCACTTGGCGTTATTGAAAGCTCGTCCAATATATATATATATATGTACATATTTTATATATATATATACATAGACTAATCAAAGAGTGACGTTCAGCGTATATTAAAAAAATATCTAACGACTACTCTGATGATCGCTATTATACACAAAGGTCATGTTACCAAATGCTTAATTAATTATGAAAAAACTTAATAAGTTTTAGTAATCGAAAGATAAATAAATGTTATTACCTTTTTTTTTTTTGGATAAATCGTTAAAATTGCCCACATAGGGCAATATTTATTATTGCGTTTGTTAATACACTTTTGTAAATATAATTTTTTAGTGAAAGTATAAATGACAGTACAGTAATGTTATTCAAATCAAAGATTTAATGGACAAATTGGATCAAAGATTAAATGGAAAAATTATTTTCTACTTTATATCTAGTGAAAAAAAAAAAAAAAGAATACGGATTGGAGGGAATCATATGAATTTTTCACTTTTTTTGTATTCCAAATTGGGGGAAAAAAAAAAAAAAAGAAAAAGAAAAAAAATACAATTGATATAAAAGATTTCGCCCGTGTACATGACTCATGTATTTAACATGCGATTTATCATATTTTTCATATTCATCATATAGAGTAAATATAAAAAAAAAAAAAAGGAATAAAAGGAAGAAAGAAAAAAAATTCAAGCAAAAGCAAAACTGAACATACGAAGTTTTACGTAACTTCTAAAATGTTGAATTATAATCAGCATTATATTTGTACATAAATATATATATATATATATATATATATATATATATATAATATATATAAAATTATAAATATATATATATATATAATAATATTAATAATTATGATGATAATAATAATAATAATAATAATAAAATGTTTTCATTCTAAGATAGGGTCAAACTCTTAATGTATTAATACCTACCAAACTAGAGTTTTGGCAACGTATACCAACCTGACGCCGCCACTCAAAATATGCTTTGCCTAGAGGCAAACGGCACGCGCTATCGTTTAATCGCTAATTCATTACACACACATTATTCCGAATTTTGCTTCGAATTGCGACGAAGCAGCCAAGAATAATGGAAAAGTACGTTACAACATTCACAAAACAAATAATAAATAAATAAATAGGTAGATATATAAATAAATTAATTAATAAATAAATAAATAAATAAATGGAAACAAACCAAAAATAAAAAAAGAGCGGAAATAAACGAGCGAAAATTAAGATTTCGTAAATAATACAACATATAATTAAACGTTAAAAGCTTTTAAAGCATACTTCCCTACATAAAGTGTCATGTCGTAAAAATATTCGTATGCTTTTCAAAAACAAATGATTTATCCGCAAACTTACTAAATTTCTTACAAAGAAATTAATCGCACTGTATGAAGTGTGTCGTTGATAAAATGGGGGAATAAAAAAAGAGAGAGAAAGAAAAAAAAAACCAGAACCAGGAAAACAGCGATTCAATTTTTTTTTACATATTTTTCATGAAATACTTTTGTAAAAAGAAAAAGAAAAAATATCGTATATACTTATACACCTGCGTTTCATTATGTTTAAATCGATAAACTACGCAGTCATATTATCGTAAAACTTTATAAAAGAGAGAAAGAGAAAAGTAAGTTAATTTGTATTTTTTCTGATCGCTATAATTTTTTTTTTTTTCTTTTTTTTTTTTTTTTATGTATACCAATTTTATTATTATACTATTAATTTCTTCTTATTATTATTCTTGACAAACTTCATACATTAAATTAATATCTTTACAGAACATATCATAAATCTTTCAGTGCATCGTACAGTCAGTATTATTCAATATTATTCAATTTTAAAAAGCTTTCACATATTTTCCACGACACAACGAGCATGTACTTTTCGATTAAACGAAAAGTACAAATCTTTTTCTTATATGAGACAACGTGATTTCACTGTTAAAGGATCGAGCGTATTAACAAAGGATAACGGGATTATTTTTTTATTTATTTGATTTTCTTTTTTTTTTTTCCGTTGGAATTTTTTCATCAACCAATCCTTCCAATGGGGGACGATGAGACCTTCTTAATCTAATTCTAGAACTGTGAAGAATCTCATCGTGTGAAAAATGATGAAATGTAGTTATTTGTTAAATAACAAACATTGATTATTAATAATCATTAATTATTACAACATAATAGTGGTTATGTAAAAGAAAATGATTATCCTACGAGGTAATAAGGTGTCCCTCGTGTTTTTTTTTACAAAAATGGAATTCAAATTCAACAAACGGAATGAAATTGTTCTTGAAATTGTCAATTTTTGTGTATCTGTGCGTGTGTATATATGCGTATGTGTAGAAAAGGTAGGTAGAAAAAAGGAAGCGGGGTCTGACGATAGTAGTCACAGGATTATTATTCTTTTTATCTCATGCAAACCACGCGTAAAACAAAAAAAAATGAAAGAGAGACAGAAAGAGAGAGGAGAGAGAGAAATATACAAAAGAGAAAGAGGAAAAAAAAAGAAAAGAAAAGAAATCAAAAATTGTTTCATAGACAGATGATGGGGAAGGATATAAGGGTGAGAGCAGGTGAGGGATAGTGTATAATAACAATTCTATGCGAAACACTCAAAGCTACGAGCCACAGAGTATCGTTTCGCTATTAGAAAATATTAAATGTGTGTATGTGTCTGTTTGTGTATGCACAATACGTCGGTGGTAACGTCGCTAACGAAAGAGGCATTTGTTTAAAAACAAAAAACAAAAAACAAAAAACAAAAAACAAAAAAAGAAGAATATATATATAAAAAAGAATAAAAGAGAAAAACGAAAAAAGATAAAAAGGAAACAAAACAAAACGAAGCACATCGTTAATGAAAACTTGCAACGATATTTTGAACTGGAATCTCTCGAGGAACGACTCGATAATGCATCTACGATGGTGCAGCTCCAGTGTCCAAAATTGAGCTTCCAAGTGTCTTTTAACTTATCCAAGTATCCTCGACCACTTCTCGTATTCCTCAAGTAGAGTAGTCTCTTCTAGTACTATATCGTTTTTATCTGAACAAAGCGAACTTACGAACGAGCAAAATGATAGGAGGATTCATCTATCATTCAGTTGGGATTGGAATATAGGAAAGAAAAGTCCAACTGAATTGGATTTCACTGAATTATTATGAGATAATTGGAAACAAAAGTTACTAGATTATTTTTTGCACATTTTTTTTTTCTTTTTTTTTAAAGCAACTATTATTATCTCAGATAACGGCAGCTTCCAAAAATCGTTTAGTTCTTCTCGAGTATCGTCACGAAGAGAAAGAGAAATCACGTGAAAAAAAAGAGAGAGACAGAGAGAAAATGAGACAGAAAGAAATAGAGTAAAAGAGAGAAAGAGACAGAGAGAGGGGGGGAGGAAGGGAGAAAGAGAGAATAAAACATATCGAAACAAATCGAATGTAACGAATATGCGAGCATGCAAAGTGTGACAATGGCAAGCTTGACACATTTAATACATACATACATAGATAGACAGATGGGATATATACATTGACCTAAGCATTCGGGCCATTTACATACATACATACATACATACATATATAAAAATACACAATTGCGAATAAAATATGTGAGGAAAGTAGGGGTGGAGGGTTAACAATTCATTATTTTTCTTTCTTTTTTGTTTTGTTTTTAATGGAAATAGAGAAAGAAAAAACAAAAGAAAGAAAGAAAGAAAGAAATTAAAAAAGAAATTAAGAAAGAAAGAAAGAACGAAAGAAAATGGATCGCGTGTTCGATCTACGAACCGAAATATAGAGATAGATGAAAAGCATCGGAGCTGTCGGGCGTGCACTTGTAGTCGCCTTCGTGGAACTCCGTGGCATGAGTCGCTGTTAGCTCGCTTCCTCCGGTCTTGGCCTTCGGACGGACGATCAATTGACCGCTCGCCAACTCCGGCTCGAGAGTCTGACCGTTTCTGGTCCACCTAATGTTATCGTCCGGCTGGAGGCCGCTGCATTCGATACTCCAAGATTCACCCTTGTGTACGATCATCGGTCCCGAATAGATCACTTAATCGGGAATTACAACACATATGTATGTACATAAAAGAAGAGAGACAGAGATACATCGAATGGACACGATGAGATGTTGGCTGGTTTCAGGAATTCCTAAGGATATATTATTATTAGGAATGTAAGAGAGTATTCGAAGGGAGATAGGAATGGAGGAAGGTAGAGAGAAAAATTTTAGGATGATTTTAAGATTATTTATGGATCCACGTAATTGTAGAAAATTTCGATTGAGCTTGATGAATGATACATCATAACTTTCTAGGATAAAAGATTTTTCTGTTGTTGATTGTTGTTGTTCTTGTTGTTATTGTTATTGTTATTATTGTTCCTTTGTGTTAAAATAAAAATTAAATATCATAATGGATCCTTTTTTAAATCGATATATATAAATTCTAATACGTACTTTCTAAGATATATATTTTATTCGTCGCTTTTGTGTTAAAATAAAAATTTAATGTTGTCATAGCTCCTTTGTTAAATCGGTGTACATACATACATACATACATAGATAGATACGTATGTACGTACATATATATATATATATATATATATATATATATATATATAATAATAATATTTGTTTCATTTCATAGCATCCATTATTCCAATATATATAATCACACGAAAAAAAATATCCTTCCAAAAAAAAAAGAAAAAACAAAGAATATCGATCAGTTAATTTTTAAAGAGTCTACTATATATATAGTTCATCGCAAATCTAAATGGCATTTTATGTAACCGTCGAAAAAAAAACAAAAAAAAAGCAAAAGACAAGTAATGGATAGATTATTCTATTATACTAAAATTATCGATAAACGTCGAAGATTCTGCTATGGCTAAATCATACTACTCGCCAACTTTTACATAGCATAAACATCACGTGACTAATTTCGTTAGACAAATGTAGATGTCCTCGATGAGTTATTGTATCTATCCTGAATGAAGTGTTTTGCGCGATTAATGTATATATTTATACATTTTTATAAATAAATAAATATATATATCGTTGATATTTTCTGACGAATGAAATAAATCTAAGGAGAAGAAGAAAAAAAAAATATATATATATATATATATATATATAAATAAATAAATAAAAATAAACGCATTAAAATATTCTCAAATGAATTCTCAAGAACGGGACGAAAAATTAACTGTGGAATTATTAGAAGAAACGAATTAGAATTCGAACGAACTTGGCGCCATCTGGAAATAGGCCGTTACATTATTCCGAAGTTCTCGAACTGTTTCGTCAATGTGCGCAACACTTTAGTTAACATGTCAGATCAGCGCATAAAAGAGAAAGAGGGAGAGATGAGCACGTGATCAGATCGACACACGAGCTTAGAACATATTTTTATGTGCCAATATTAAAATTTATCTTCATCGAACAGAAATATTTTTTTTTTTTTTTTTTTTTTTTTTTTTTTTTTTTTTTTTTTTTTTTTTTTTTTTTTTTTTTTTTTTTTTTCCTTTATTTTGTTCATTTGAACATCAATTTGACCGAATTTCAGACATCACGCATGATCATTAATTATTAAGAACATTACTGATCGTTCATTTTATTCGAAATTTCATAAATTATTCTTCATATTTAAAGAAAAAAAAGAGAGAGAGAGAGGGGGGAAAAAAGGAAAAAAATCCAATCTTACAATAATACACTGATCGAATCATTAAATGTAACGACAATATCAATCGAGCTTGTGTGACGTAAATTAATCGCCATTAACTATGATCTTCCTAAACGCAGTACAAAGAACGAAGAACATATCTGGAATGAACTACGATCGACCAATCAATTTATTAATCTAACGAACTATTTTTAATCTGGATCAATAACGGGTTGGCCAGAACAACCAAAGTCATGAGATTCCTTTCTTGCATATTTTTCGTTGAATAAATATGATGAACCGTAGTTTGTTTAAACAAAAAAAAAAAAAAATAAAAAAACATTTTTTGCATTATTCTTTTTTCAAAGTAATAATAATGTCTACCATTATCATTACTTCAAATCATATTTGATATTCTATGATATGAAATATAAAATAAAGATTTTTCTGCTAAATTGTCGATCATTTTGGAATGTTCAAAAATATTACTTAAGGATTTAATAGTTTTCCAAATCTGAATGACGATTAGAAAAAATCGATTTTTCTTTTTATTTCATTTTTTTCAAATTTTCCAGTATATATGTAAATAAAGTTTTCCACAATGTAACATAAATATGATTTTTCGATATCTCAATTATTTAATTTTTTATCAGCATTTGAAATTAATTCCTTTTTTTTTTTTTTTTTTTTTTTTTTTTTTTTTTTTTTTTTTTTTTAAATAATAATAAAAGCAAGTTTCTACACTTGAAACTGTTGCCATTTCCATAATAATTGAAAACTTTGAAAATTCTCATGCTACATTTTAAATGATAC